TAGGTGTGTCTCACTATAGGAGATTGCTGTGATCTGGAGAGTTGAGTATATGCTAATTTAAAAATGCACATATTTTGCATTTGATTTCTACAGAGTTGAAATGTTGGGAGATTAAAAAAAAAAAAACTAAATAAAGTGTCTTCCATTGTTAAATGAAGTGTTGATGGTGTACAGCCTTCTCTGGCTTCCCTCATTTGTAGCACTTCTGGCCTAGATGCTATAGTTAGTTCAGGTGACAAGACTCAGTTACTGCCTGCTCATCTGGAGGAGATGGGAACTAGGCCGAAAGGTCAAGCTGCCCATTTCCTCAAAGCAGGCTGTGTTCTCTGGGAGAAATAATTGGTGGCTGCAGAGATTATTAAAGATGCCCCCCCTTTTTTTCCTGCCTTCTGATTTTTCTCATTAAAGGCATGTTGTACCATACCTGGCCAAAGATTTTTTTTTTTTAAACTTAAAAACAAAACAAAACCCCAAAACTTGACCGGTGGTGAGATGTCACAATGGTTAAGAACACTGGCTGCTCTTCCAAGCACCCAGGGGCAGTTCCTAGCACCCACACGGTGGCTCCCCAGTTCTAGGGGATCCAGCAACCTTCTGGCCTCTGTAGGCACTAGGCACAGGCATGGTATAGATCCATCCAAGCAGGCAAAATGCCCACACACAAAATTTAAAAATTACTTTGTGTGTGTGTTTGCATCAAGCTCAAGGCCCCTACAGTGCAGGATGCTGATTCGGGGCACATGGGGGAATGATTCCTGGGCCTTGTGTAAGCTACACAAGTGGCGTGCCACTGAAGTCGTCTGTCCCAGGTAGACGGACGGTCTTCAAGTTGCCACCGCCTGTTACCAAGGCTGCCCTGCAGAGCAGTTCTGTTCTGTGTATGCGTGTTCATGTATGAAAGCCCTTCACTGGGCAGGACCTTGGTTAAACCCAGAGTTCATGGATACAGTGACTTTCATAGAAGCTGGTTTGCCAGGGCCTGAGCTTTGCTTACTCTAGTCCTGCTTTGTCACGTGTTCTAGCCTCCTGATTTCCTAAGAATTGGCTGCTTCTCCTCTTCCTATCTGCATGTTCTGTTTCAAGGTACCACTGTGGGCTGAAGGCAGATCCTCACAGTTGGGAGCTCAACACATGAGAAAGGCCTGGCCCAGTTGGGACACATTATGCCTGCGTGGTGGGCCATGCAGGGGCCGAGTTGTAATGTATGTATTTAAGTCTGTTTGTCTCTAAAAAAACAAAAACAAACTTATATGTATGGCTGTTTTGCCTGTGCACATTTGTGCACTGTATGCATGCAGGCCAGAAGAGGGTGTGGAATCCCCTGAACTGGAGTTATAGATGGTTGAGAACCTCCATGTGGTGCTGGGAATGGAACCCAGTTCTCTGCAAGAGCAGCCAATGCTCCTAACCATTGACCCATCTCTTTAGTCCCATTGGGTAGGGTCTGTTTTTCAGTTGTTTTTGTTTTGTTTTGAGACAGTTTTTCTGGCTGTCCTGCAACTCCCTCTGTAGAGCAGTCTGGTCTTGAACTCCGAGATCACCCGACTCTGCCACCCAGGTGCTGAATTAAAGGTCTGGGCCACCACTGCCCAGTCCCATAGTGTATTTTGATCGTATTACGCCTCCCCCAGAATCTCTCCATCATGTCCTTCCCAACTCCATGTCCTCTTATTTCTTTTTAAAAAGCCCTGAGTCCAGTTAGTGCTGCTCATATGTGTATATGAGGAGTTTGCGACAAGGTCTTAATAATTGAGGCTGGTCTTGAAACTTGTGATCCTCCTGCATGGCCACTGAGTGCTGGCTACTGAGGAATGTGGCTCACTGGTGTGCTTCAAGTATGAAGCACCTAGAACCACCTCCCAAGGGTGGCACTACCCACAGTGGGCTGAGCCCTCACAGATCATCATGGAAGTGCCCCATAGGCTAGTGGGTTGTGGTGGTGCCACATACTTCTAATTCTAGCACTCAATAAAAAATATATATATAAACAAAAAAAAAGCTGGGCATGGTGGTACACACCTTTAATTCTGGCAGAGGCAGGTGGATCCCTGTGAGTTCAAGGCCAGCCTGGTCTACAAACAGAGTTCCAGGACAACCAGGGCTGTTACAAAGAGAAACCCTGTTTCAAAAAACAAATTCCAGCACTCAAGAGGCAGATCTCTGAGCTGGAGTCCAGCCTGGTCTACAGAATGAGTTCCACGACAGCCAGGGCTACACAGAGACCCTGTTCTGAGATACAAACAAAAAATGCCCTCATAGGCTTGTCCACCGGCCAGTCTGGTGGGGGCATTTTACCAATTGATAGTAGCTTGCATCAAGTTGACAAAGCAAGAACAGAAAACCCAAAAAAACACATACTAGTCCTTTCTGTGCTGAGGCACACCCTCAGTCTTGGTTTGCTGAGTGCTTTCCTTATGGCAGCCTCTGGAACTTGGCCGTATGTATGTATGTATCAATCAAAGTAGCCGTAGTTTTTGTCTTCCCTCCTGTTACTATGGGGTGTTACCCGTGCACTGTGGCTCTCTGGCATAGCTCAGCACACATGAGAAACAGACTACTTGAGCCTGCATGTGGGGGTGCTGCCCCCTGGCAGTCATAGCTATTGAGGCCTCTATTTCCTACTTGGCTGTTATTTCACTCGAACTAACATGGGTGCACTCCAGTTCTGTTCGTGTAGCAACAGGATCATTTCTATCACTTTTATAAAAGGTCTTCTGTGTGGCAGTGTGGCTCTAGACGTGAAAATTCACACAGAACTGAGGGAATCCATGTACCACAAAATTCTTTTTTCTGGTTTTATGAGAATTTCTAGTTTTTGGCTGATGTTTACCAAGGAGCCCAGGCTGGTCTCAAACCTGAAGCAATCCTCTTGCCTCAGCCTCCCAAATGCTTAGACTGTTACATACCGCCATTGCCTTAGCTTCATGTGAAACTAAAATTGGTCTGGGGAGATGGCTCATTGATTAAATGTTTGCCTCACAAGAACCCAGTTTGTTCCCCAAGAACCCACACTGAAATGCTAGATGTGCTCAGTGGTGGAGAGTGCTTGCTGATCTCAGAAGAGCTTGTTTCCTAGCTTGGCCTGTTTAGGTGGGCCTGTGATTCCTGCTCCTAGTGGCCCACTTCTTTAATCCCAGCATTCAGGCAGAAGACAGTCAGATTTGGGTTTGAGGGTAGCCTGGTCTACCCAGTGAATTCCAGGACAGCCAGAGCTACAGAGAGAAACCCTGTCTAAAAAAATCAACCAGGCTTTCTGCTCTGCCATCCTTGGGAAGCCCTGTCTCCCCTCTAGGCCTTGGAATAGTGGCAGCAGGTCCAGGTTTCATACCTGCATGTTAAGAGAAAGCCCAGCCAGCTCCCCAAGGTGCTGCTTGCATTTGCCATGCTGGGTTACAGACCTTTTCTTCAACAAGGGCCTGATTGTAGTGCCCTGGTGGACAACATAGAGAACTCAACTGTGTTGGTTGGCAATATATGTTATCTTTTTATTCTCCTGTTTTTTGTTTGTTTTGAGACAGGGCTTCTCTGTGTAGCCCTGGCTTATCCTGGACTCACTCTGTAGACCAGGCTGGTCCTGAACTCACAGAGATCTACCTGCCTCTGCCTTCCAAGCATTAAGATTAAAGGTGTGTACCACTACGCCCAACAAAGTCAGTCTTACTTTATAGTTAGTCCAGGCTGGCTTGAGCCGTCTTCCTGTCTCAGCCTCAGTGTTAGGATTATGAGTGCACAACACTGTGCCTAGTGTTATTTTACTATTATTTTTCTATGTTTTTCAAGACAGGATTTCTCTGTGAAGCCCTGACTGTTCTGAACTTTTTGTAGACCAGGTTGGCCTCAAAATCACTGCCTCTGTCTCCCAAGTACTGGAATTAAAGGCATGTGCTACCTGGCTTGCATGTGTTTTTATTTTAAAAAGATTTATTTAAATTTATTATAATTTTAAAATAGTTTTATTTAGTATATATAGTGTTCTGCCTACATGTCACCTGCATGCCATAAATCTCATTGTAGATGGTTGTGAGCCACCATGTGGCTGCTGGGAATTGAACTCAGGACCTTTGGAAGGCTGGCCAGTGGTAACCTCTGAGCCATCTCTCCAGCCCACGAGTGGTATTTTTTAAGACAGGGTGATCTCACCCTGGATGGTTTGGGACTTGCATTGTAGGCCAAGCATATGGCATATTTTTAGTGTGCACTAAAATGTCTTTCTCAGATTGAGTTCCATGATGGGGTGGGTTAAGGGCTCTAAGACAATTTTCTCCACAGCTTTCTGACCCCTGAGGGATTTATTCCTGTTTCCCCTTCTACCTTGAGGTTTTTCTCTGTAGCTGGGCATGTCTTTCAGTGGGATTGAGCCCTTTCAGGCTGACACTACTCAGAAAAACTCCTAGCCATCCTCAAGGCCAGGGCATCCTGAGAACTTGGTCTATTGTTCCCTCCCCACAGTGGGATCCCCTGCTCTCTGCCTAACTTCATCTGGAAAGGGTCTCTAGACACAGACTCCCCTAATCCCACTTGATATCTGGCCTCTGACACAGCTCCCTGCCAGCTCTCCCCTCCCTGTGCTTATCTATATGTTAATTAGCACTGACCTTCTACTCTTAAGATAGGAGTGTGCTATATAATGCAAATCAAGCATCCTTGAAGTGCCTAGTTCCAACCAATTATGTACACCTATTCTTGGAGCCCCCACCCACTCCTCTAGGGGTATATAGCCTTTGTTCTCTGGAATTAAAGTTGAACTAGCCATCAGCTGCTCCCTGGGGCGTGGTATCCCCCGTACTTGTTCTAACTAGCTCTTCCAGGCAGCTTCTCGTCTCCTGCCCCTCCTGACAGCCTGAGAAAGCCCCCAGGCAGGAGGAGAACAAGGGCCAGAGGCTGTCTACTCTTAACCATTGAACTTGGAACTTGCCCGCTGCTGTCCTGGAGAGCTGTGGGGACCTACAGGACTATGCAAATCCAGGTTTGTAAAGTCACTTGACACAACAGAGGGTAGCTCTGATTCTGCAGTACTTTATTTTAACTAACCAGTGATATGACCCCCATTCAGTAGTGGGGGGGGGGCAGGCAGACAAGAGATGCTCCAGAAGGGTAACACATTTCCCTCCTGCTCAGGCCCCTCCAGGGAGCAGCAAAGGCCCCAGGGACCTTGAACACGTGGCTCCCAGCCAGCCTCCCTAAATCACAACAGAAACCAGCACTTCCAAAACCCTCCACTGTCAGAAGGAAGGAACCCAGGCTTGTGAGGAGAACTTTCAGCCTCCCCCTGTAGAAGCAGGGTGACTCCACCACTCACCAGTCTGTGCTACCATGGCTCTAGAGCAGGGGCCACAGCCACCAAGGGTGGCCTGTCCCCCCCAGCCCCCACCATTGCGTATGTCGGTGCCTGGGTGAGGCAGGCAGGCACCTCCTCACTCTGAAACTGGGTGGACAAATGGAAAGGCAGGGTGAGAAGCAGGGTCACTAGAAGGCCCTTTCTCCCAGCTCTCACTGCCTCGTTTTCCCATGCAGTTTCAGTTAACAGCCTGGCTCTGGGGCCTCTGGGAACTCAGTGACTTGATGCTACTGCTTGGACCTGGTTTCCTGGGCACCAGCCAGCAGGGAACACAAGTTGCTATTTCTGAGGGAATGAGGAAGGCTTCCGTTTCCACGCACCATCTTAGAAGCCTATTGGGTGTTAGACAGCTGGATCCTCCTCACATTTGAGAGGGGAGCAGCTGACCTCCACCATACCCACCTCCACAGCTAAGCGAGAAGGGGTTTGGGCAGCCGCCTGGCCCAGAACCTACCATGGGCATGTGGCCTGGTAGGCCTTAGGATGGGTGGCTCCCTGATCAGTCTCTTGGCATTCTATGGCATAGAAAGGAATCCACACACCAAGCCCCTCAGCCTGTCAACACATTGGATGTGGCTGTTTGGATGTGCCTATGACCACAGCACTGTAGAAAGCAGGTCACTGATTCCGAGAACTGGCTCTCTACACTGCAGGGATAGGCTTCCAGGACATACAGGGTAGGGCCTGCCCACTGGCTAAAGTGCCAGATACCCAGGGCACCCATGTTCCTTACTACTCTGAACTGCCTTCTGTGTGACCAGCTGGCCTGTCCCTGGCCTAGACCTGAAATTCACAGCATAACTGGGTCATCTACCATTTACACATTCACCACCGCATACAACAGGCCTAGCAGGTCTGAGAAGGTGGCGGCAGCAATTTGCTTCTCAAGTAAAACATCTGAAAAATCCCCTCCAGTGCTTTGTTCCCTGGCCATGGGCCATGGAGGGCTGGGCACTCAGCATGCTAAGCCCACATTCCCCAGCAGGGAGCAGAGGTGCCTACTGGCGCTCAGAGCTGGTGCAACAGTCCTCTCAGCAGGCTCTGGGAAGCTCAATTCAGGTCCAGTCTAAAACGGGAGGCATTGTGCTCCAGCAAGGCCAGAGCTGCCTGCACAAAGGCAGGCAGGAGGTGCCGGTTCCTTGTCAAGAAAAAAGGTCCTTTGGCCTTTCTCTTAGGGAGCACAGGACACAGGTCAGGGGCTGTGAGGCTTTCAAATTCTCTCAGCCTTGGCACTAGGTTGAGGCTGCTGCCGCCGCCACCAAGGCACCTTGACAACTCATAGACAAATGGCAGACGTGCCTGCCAGCAGCTGCTCCAGAAGTGTGAGGAAGGCATGGTGCAGGCACGGTGTGAGCCGAGCAAGCAGCCTCCCAAAGCTTCTCTATGGCCTGGCACAGAAGCAGAAAGGAGGCTGGCTGCCACCATCCTCTGCAAGCCCAGAAACAACACTTGGAGCAGGTCTGGTTCCATGAGTCATGGAGGCCGATCACATTTCTGAAGTCAGCATGCTCCAAAGGCCTGAAGCTTCCTAGCTAAAACTTGCCCTTGACCTACCATCTTGTGTTTTGAGGAGGCTGCATGAGGTATGTTCTTCCAGGCCTGGGGCACTGTGGGCTCAGAACAACTCCTGCTCATCGTCCTCAGAGCCCGATGGTCCCTGGCGGACCTCCTCATACCACTTGTTGGTGAGGCTTTTCATCTGGATGCGTCCGTGGTGGAGGTCCTGGAGGGAGATACATAAGGAGGCTATCCAGTGACAGGGTCAGGGGACAAGAGGCTGCTGTGAAACTATGAGTTGAAGGACGGTGTGCAGAGGACTGACAGGGCAGAGGGAGAAAAATGGCCATGTTATAAGCCTGGCCTTTGGAATTAGAAGTCTGGGCTCTGTGGCAGCTTTGCAACATGTTGCTCTGTGTGTGTGTGTTGGGGATGTCCTTTCCCTGGGTTTCCCCAGCTGTCAAGTGAAAGGACATGTTTTGCTGCTTCGCTGCTGGAGGACATGGTGCTCATGGGGGTGTGAAGTGCTGTGCTATATAACAGGTTGTGAAGAAAGAGAGACCGGCAATGAGAGGCCAACCCACCCCATAGGAGGCAGCTGCTGTGCCAGAGGAACAGGGTCATAGGCCTGTCTGAGACTTCTTGGCTGAGCATCAGAAGCCGACCCATGTCCCCAAGGGCAGATGAAGCCCAAACTGTGTTCACCTGTCTTCCACCATGTGCAGCGAAGGAAAAGCAGCGAAGGAAAAGGAGCTGGGCTGCTCACCCAGCCTTCAGCAGCTGTTTCCCTCCCTATCCTCAGCCACTGCAGGGCTGAGGGGAGATGAGGGGCCCTGACATGCCTACCTCCTGTGTCAGCCGCCGTGTGAAGAAGGGGTTCAGGTACTTGGCATCCAGCCACATGAAGCCTTTGAGGTCCTGCTGTCTGATGTAGTGGGCTTCGTACTCCTCTTCGGTGAGCTCTGACAGGTGCTCTGACTCGATGGCATTGCCCTGTGTAAGAGCTGCCAGTGTCAGCAAGCCCTTCCCTGGGAGCTCTCATTCTGCCTTCCTGCCAGAATTCCACTCTAACACACTCTACCTGTGTACAGGTGATCACAGGCAGACCTTTTTGGGCCCCCAAAGCCTACCCTCTGCAGGGATGCCCAGTGACAACAAGATTTAAGCATAGGAGTCTCCAAAGTTGCACAGCCCTGCTGACCTGGGCCTGCAGTACACAGGAAGTGCCTGGTCAGTCTCTGGTGTTTGACAAGCCTGAAGATGGGCTGGAAAGACAGCTCAGTGGTTCAGAATGCTTGCTGCTTTTCCAGAGGACCGGAGTTCAGTTCCCAGTGCTGTTGTTAGCTGGCTCACAATTGCTTATAGCTCCACTTCTGGAGGGTCTAATACTCTCTTCTTGTCCGCGTACACACATGCACACACTCATACACACACTCCATGGCATGCACATACACAGAAAACATAAAGAGCACAGTACAACACCAAGCAAACTGGTTAGCTACAAGAAGCTGGGAAGAAAGGCCTCTTAGCATGAGAAGTACCTGCAGAGCTGAGGCTGCCTGGAGGAGAGACCCTGGGCCAACGGCTCTGACTCCCACTCTCAGGTAGCACTCAGATGACTGACCCAAGTTACATCTCAAACAGGAAGATTAAAAGGCAGTATATCTCAGGAATGCAGGGGGATGGGGCAGAAAAGAGGGTCAGGAGTCAGAGTTGGTGCAGTGGGAGAGGAAGTGCAAGAGTAGCTTGGCAGCAGGAGGCGGCTGGCAGGAAGTAGAGGTGGGCAAGAGGGCACAGAAGCATAAGCTTCCAGGGTGGCTGGGCCTTGAACACCGCTAGCCCTAACACTAACCCCTCTGTCCTCGGAGGTGGCTGGGCCCTGAACACCTCTAACCCTAAGCTACAACCCCTCTGTCCTCGAGGATGCCACCATGCTTCCAGCCTAAGCTCAAAGTTCCCACAAGCCACCATCCTCTTGGTCCCTACTGAGTGTAAATGCACACTAAGGAGTACCTAAATCTGAAAGCTTTTGGTCCCTGACTTGGCTTCTGGCTCAGCTCCTGGCAGCAGAGGCACCCAGGAGTCTGGCACAGGACCAGCTGCAAGTGGCCTCAGCTCTCAGCTTCTGTGGCTTTAGCAAGTCACAGGCTGGCATTCACCCTCCCCCAAAGACCTGCGCTTCAGAAGACAGGTTCCACACCTGTTCTCAGGTTTGCACTGCCAACCCTGAGGTAAGCAAACCATGTGCAAGCACCAGCCCCCAGAATTCCAACCTGCCCTCTCCAGAAAACAGGCCGCAGGGCCCACAGCCATACTAACCATCTTCTCGGTCTTGCTGAGGTTGACATCCTTCTTACTCCTTCGGCGTGCCCGAGCATCTTCGATGTCTACAAGGCGGATGAGAGGCATGGTGCTGCCGCCCAGCAGCAAGATGGTGAAGAGTACAATGACAATGGTGGTGGTACCGATGAGCTGACGCTTCTCCATGGGCTCCAGGCCCAGGTGCAGGCTCAGTGCATAGGGGATGGCCCCTCGAAGGCCTGGGAATGTCAAAAGGTGAATGTCAAAAATTGATGCAAGAAGGAGGGGAAGGGGAAAGAGAAGGAAGTGGCTCCAGGGTGGCTTCAACTCAGCACCACTAATTGTGGCCCAGGATGCGCCAGAGTAGGTGGCAGGGTGGCCACGACAAAGTCCCTTGCATGTTCTGCATGGACTGGTTCCAGGCAAGAAACCATAGACATGCTGCTATGTAGCAGGTGTATTCGGGGATTCATTATCTGTCATGTAACAGCTATGGTGGCTGAGTCCTCCCTGGGTGCCCCAGGCTACTAATTAGGTGCTCTGTGCAGTTATGGCTGCCTGCCACAGAAACCTGCCTAGCAGGTGCTACCACTCTCCATAGCACGCAAGAGAGGGATCAGGCTAGAGTAGAAATATCCTGCTCAGGGCCATGATGAAGACACAGGCGGCAGTGAAGGAGTGATCTGTCTAATGACTCGCTTATCTTATTGGCAATAATCAAGTGAGGGTGAAGAGGATAGAGCTGAGAGACACTTGATCTGCAAACACACACACAGAGCAGGGGATGATCCCAAGCTCCACCTTCAGAAGGTCCCAGAGCAGCTGGGAGAGACAGTGAACAAAACACTAAATCCAGGAGAAGGCTCACTGGGAACAGAGACCACAATGGGGTGGCTCAGACACGTGCCTCTGAGAGGGCCTGGCTGCTGGAGCAGTGCAGACCTAAGATAGCAGGGGGGCCAGAGTGAGGGGGGGTCCGGAGTCATAAGCAGGGGTTAGCTCCTCTGCTCCTCCAAACTCACAGGGCCACAGGATGAGGGAACCTAAACACCTGTGATAAGCTCACTGTGCACACATGCCCAGCCAGTGCCAATGGTGGAGGCCATGTATACCAAGCCACCATGCTGCTTCCCACAGAAGGGAGGGCAAGCCAAGCAGCAGGTAGCCAGTGGGCTCCAGCGTAAGGAACCTGAAGGAGGTAGGGACAGGCCCCAGGATGCCACTGTCTGGGGTCAGTATGGGAAGTGCTGCTGGGAGACTGGGGAGCCCCAGGAGGATGAGTCTTCGATATACTACCAATAGCAGTGGGAAGAGGGATCCCGAAGCCCAGCAGGTACACAGGCTGAGGGCTGACGCTGCAGAAACCTCAACAGCAGAAGGGGCACAAGTGGAGAAAACATGGACAGAGTGAAGAGCTGGGAGAAGTTGAGGCTGGGGGAGCAGCACTGGTTTTTACTGGGAGGAACTCTGTTTAAATGATGCTAATTCCAGCACTCAGGAGGCAGAGACAAGGAGGAGGGCTGCAAGCTCAAACCTAGTCTACACTGCAAGTTTTGGGTCAGCCAGACCTCTACACATTTATGGGAGACAGGATCCAGGTTGGACTTGAGCTAGAAATCCTCCTGCCCCATTCTCTCATGTACCTGGCCTTACAGTTAAGTGCCAGTATACTTGGCACAGTTTTCACATGGACTTTTAAAAAAAAAAAAAAAAGAATGAGGCATATTGCAGTAGACATTAGAAAGTGCTGCTGTAATCCAGTCCACATGGAAATACTTCAATTATTTTTATAATTTTACTTTTTGAGACAGGGCCTCACTGTGTAGTGCTGACTGGTCAGGAACTTGCTTTGAAAAGCAGAGCTAGCCACGAACTCACAGAGCTCTGTATCTGCTCAGATCCAAGTCATGTGCCATCACACTTGGCTCATGAAACTTAAATAAGAGGAGTAGAGAAAGTTAAAGATCCTAAGGGAGACTGGGCACTGGTGGCGCACACCTTTAATCCCAGCACCCAGGAGGCAGAGGCAAGTGGATCTCTGAGCTTGAGGTCAGCCTGGTCTACAGAGTGAGTTTTAAGAGAGCCAGGACTGTTACACAGAAAGACCCAGTCTCGAAAAAAACAAAAAAGCAAAACAAAACAAAAACAAAAAAAGAAAAGTACTGCTAGAGTTGAAGACTGACAAAATCATCCAGCCTTGAGAAAGTAGAGGTGTGACTGACAAGTGGCTGCAATGCTCAGACGCAGCAACGAGAGCTCTGTAGCGGAGAAATAACCTGCACAGTATGGGGGACAATGACAGCTGGGTCAAAGGGCAAGTACTAAGTACCTTCCTAGCATGAGGAGGCCCTGGGTCAAATCCCCATCCTTAGTATCACAGCACAGCACACCACATATACAGGCCTACAAAGGGTCCTTGCTCTGCCTTAGAGAGTCCCTGGATGCTAGGCATGACCTTTGCCCTCCTGGAACTTGAGTGTCCTTACCACAGAGACAGAAAAGAGCCACCCACTCCATGGTGCCACGATGAGGTGCTATCTGTACCACCTGTTGGAAGGCCCCTGTGTCAAGCCCAGGCCACACCTACCCGGCCACTTACCGCTGAACCACATGATGAACATCATCTTGGGGGTGATTTTGTGATCACGGAAGAAGTTCAGCAGGTAGGACAGAGGGAAGATGTTGACAGCTCTGCCGAACAGTACCAGCACCTGTCAATATCAGTGTGCCCAGTGTAAGTGGAGTCCACTGCGTCCTCCAAGAGCACGAGGGTAGCACACCTGATTAAGGCAGCCGTAATGGGCTCCAGCAGCACATGCGGAGATGCACATGTGCACTGCTGCCCTGGCGCTACCTTGATGAAGCTTTGGTTTGACCTGTTGTCTTAAATGCTAGAAGACAGTAACAAGCGTCACTCACTACCAAGCTTTAGTCACACAGCCCCAGAATAAAGGCGAGCACCACCAAGCTCCAGCAGTACTTAGAGGTGAGCCAAGAGACAACCAGGACTCCATAGTGGGGTGGACTTAGGATAATTTCCCCACTGGGGGCAAAGGCAGATAGTCCCTTCTGCCTCTGCTCTGGGGTCTGGCTCCTTAGAACATGGAGAGTGGGCTGAGAGAGGCCCGTCGGCGGCGAGCACAAAGGTGGCTCACGTCCTGGGCCTGCTTGGGGCATAGCTGCTGTGCAGGCTTTGAAGCCTTCTTAGCTTTAACCAACTCCAGCTCCACGGGGTGGGGGAGGGGCTGGGAGCGGAGCGCCTGAGTGTGCATGTGAACAAGGCCCTGGGTTGGATCCAAAACAAAAAAAATACATTTCTGTGAACGGCCTTCCCAGGGCTCTCTAGAGAGCTGCACCTACACTCCCAGGACAGAACTGTGATGCAGGCAGCCACTCTAAAGGAAGTCAGTCACACTGGGGATGGAGAAGGGACTCAGAAGGACCAAGAGAACTGGGATCACTTGCAGGTGATCAATTTCTCCTTTCCTTTTCTGAGTCAGGGTTCTGCTGTGCAAGGCTATGTCGATTTTGAACTCACCATGGAGTTAAAACTTTCTATTATCTTTTTTGAGGCAGAGCCTCACGGTGTGGCTGGTTGGTCTGGAACGTGCTACATAGACCAGGGTAGTCTTGGACTCAGAGATCTGCTGGGTCCAAGGACCACCGCTACCCAGCTGTCCTCTCCTTAAACTGTTGATCTTCCTGCTTCCATCTCCCAAGTGCTAGGGTTACAGGTACCTATTGCCATGCCCTGGCTAAAACTGTACTATTTAAAGGAAACTACACCAGTTATGGCCACTGAAAATGTAAAATGTCCAGATTCTTATGTCTGGGATCTGTTTTATTTTCATTTTATTTTATTTTTTTTTAATTTCTGAGATCTTTTAAACAAAAGAAAATTTCAACAGAAGCATGTCTCTGTAGCTGTTGACTCTGAACTGTTAAATTATATAAATAATTCCAGACCATGTAGTTGCTATTCTAAAAATATGCCATTCAATTAAAAACAAGAAATGTACTTACTATGCACCAGATGACAAAGGAGATTTCAAACTTGTGAGGGAAACTAAAAATGGACAGGCCAAGAAATGCAAACACACATGTTTCTGAAAAAACAAAAAAACAAAAAACAACAAAGAATGAATGATTTGTCCCAGTTCCTTTCTTACAATTCAGTAGTAAATTAAGCAAGCATTCCTCAAGTCACACCAACAGCCATGCTGTGGTGAGACTTTATACTCAAGTCTTTTTTTTTGGGAGAGGAGAGGAAAGATTAGATGGGTTGAGATAGGCTCTTGCTGTTTGGCCCAGGCTTGCCATAAATGCAGTCTCAGAGCTGGGATTGCAAGCCACCACGGCCGGCTTTCTTCTTACTATCACATAGGCAATCCATCCCGCTACTAAGAATTTCCCAACATCATGAGTCAACTGTCAGACATTGTATGCAAATAAACAAGCTCCCACCCATGCATATGCTGAATACTCATCAGTCAGGATCCTGTTGGCAGCAAAGTGGCAAAAATTCTGAGCACATGACTGTACATGCTACATGACAAACGAGAAAGGGGCCTAATTTAGTTAACTCCTTCCCAATAAGTTCAAGAGGCAACTAACTGGCAGACAGATCTCTGTGAGTTTGAGGCCAGCCTGGTCAATACAGTGAGCCCAGGACTGCCAGGGCTACACAGAGAAACTGTCTTGGGAAAAAAAAGGGGGGGAGGGGAATAAAATAAGAGGCTTGCAGGAAGGACCCACTTCCAGGCTTGGGTGCACTTGGTATGCTGTCACTGGTATGTGCTGAAAATAGCACCTCACAAATTTCCAGGCTCCTGATTAAACTATGGGGCTCAAAAATATAGCCCAATACCTAAGGAGACAGGGACCACATTTTGAAATGTGAACACAAGCTGGCGACACTGTTTGCAATCACTCAGCAGTGTTTGAAGTGGATTGTGTATTTGTCGTTGTGGCTCACAGCCAACAGGGTGCTCATCCTTCCCCCCTGAGCTGCCTTCTCACTTAATACTGTGTGATCCTCCAAGCCAGTGCATTCAGGCCTTCTCCACTTTTCCCTGGCAGCAGGAATGTATGGTTGGCTTAACTGATCCTTTCAGGGTGGCCATGTAAGTTACTTCTGGCAATGCAAGCTACATCAGAACAGTCGGGTACACTGGCTATCATGGCTGAGCTGATCAGAAGAGACCAAGTGCCTGGTGAGTTCCCGCAGATGCTGTGACAGAGCTTCAGAGGAAATGGTGTGTGTGCCCCCAGTTCCAGAACTCAGTACTAAGGAAAGCTGGTCCAGGAGCACAACAGAAGCTGAGGGCTATGCTGTTCTCTGTGCCTGTCCTGTGAGGGCCAGTTAAGAACCTTTGGCTGAGGCTTTCTGGTAAGGACTATGGGTCAAATGACCATCAGGTACTTCTGGCTTGCTCATTAGCAATGGGCTCCTTGGCCTCTCCAGCCTTGCACAGCCAGCCCTGCCATCCTGGCTCCAAAGTGAAACAGGGCCCCCAGGGGATGCTGAGGTTGCAGCTGAAGCCTTAGCCCACAGTGTGTGTGTGTGGTGTGTGGTGTGTGGTGTGTGGTGTGGTGTGGTGTGTGGTGTGGTGTGGTGTGGTGTGGTGTGGTGTCTATGCATGTGTCAAGTTTAGAGGGATGTCTGAGGGTGACACAGGTGTGAACAGGCGTGGCTTCATAGAAAGATGGAGGAGAAAGAAGCTTCAATTGCTACAGCTTAACAAAAATACCGAATGTTCAGGCTAGGGGATGCAGCTCTGGAGCCCCCCGGTATCAGGACACCCTCGCTTATAAACTCACAGTGCCCTAGCTGGAAAGCCTAGTTCACAAAGCTATTGAAACTTTACCTTAACCGTCCTCAGCATCATTTCCAGGAAATATCTGTGGATATTTCCACATTATACACCTGAAATGTTTAGCCACAGTTCTACTTTGGGCCATAAACTGAAGCCACCAAACATCCATATTTTTAGGTGTTTCATGTCTTTTATGAAATCACAAAGCCAAAGGAGCCAACCCTAGAGGTAGGAGCAAGGTACTGGCTTGGGCTTGGAGGATTCTGGGTCCTGATGCCAGGGAAAAATTCTAGCATCACACTAGCAGGGCAGGAATCCCAGTTTGTGTGGCAAATCGGAGGTGGGACTCACCACACAGGAAGGCCACGGTCCGGAGGGTCTGCTGCATGAGGATCTGGGTGACTGGGGAGAGGTTATGGTGTGTGTAGTGTGACATCACAATGCCCGAAAACAGAATGGCCATGATGCCTGGAGAGAGAGGGAGAGAGCACACATGACACAGAGCACGGGGACAGATGTGCAAATCCCATAACACTCTTCCCCAAATCCACAAAACCCCAAGTATTAGGGGGTGGAAGAAAATGGAAGGGGCTGAAAGATCTTTCAGAGAAAAGAGCACTGCTGCTCTCCCAGAGCACCTACGTTTTGTTTCCCAGCACCTACAAAGCAGCTTTCAACTATGTCACTAAATTCCAGAGGATTCTACATCCTATTCTGGCTTCCATGAGCACCAGGTATGCAGCATACACAGACACACATTCAGGCCAAACACCCACTACATGTAACAAGGAAAAAAGAATACAGAAAGAAAGAAGGATGCAGCTTCAGTTGGTAGACTGTTTGTCTAGCAAGCAAGGAGCCCTGGGTCCCCCCGAGAAGCACAAACCAGATGTGATGGCACATACATCTGCAATCCCAGACGTCAGAAGATCAGAATTTGGCTAAACAGCAAGTTTGAGGGCAGCTGGGCTACATGAAACTCTACGTCAAAAATGAGTAGACAAAGAAAGTGAGTAAGATGGGAGGGAGGGGAATGAGAAGGAACAGAAGGGGGGAGGAGAGAGAGGAGGAGAAAGGGGTGACTGAGAGTGGGGGTGGATACACAACCTTAGGCCTTCCAGAAGCTACAGAGAAATGGCCAGGACCCCTTCTCTCTCTGCCAGCTGGTGACACTGGCCAGGTGGCTTCCCCTCAACTGTAGGTGCAGTGCCTACTCCCTCAACAGTCAGGGGTGAATGGAAGATGAACCGTGGGACCTGAACATCACAGTATCAGCTCAACAGCTGAGAGCATCACTGAACTTAGCTTAAAGGCTGGGATGAGAAGCTGGTGTTGTATCCAGAGGTGAAGAGCCCAAGGTCCTGGGTGTAAAGGGTAGAGCCTTTGGATGGACCTTTAATGTTGCAGGATATTTGATCCCTTTGTCAACCCCAAGATTGTGAACTGTAAAAACTTGTTTCTGGTTGTGTGGCTCAGCTCTAGCACATACCTTTAATCCAAAAGCTTTCTGTAAACACGATTAAATAAAGTTAGCTCAACAAGAAACCAGCTTACAGGAATGAAAAAGGAGGAACATTAAGAGAAGACATCATGGAAAAGGGCTTTTGGCTTTTTGAGATGTAAGCTGAATAGAAAGGCTCCTGAGTCTTAATTTGTAAAATCAAATGTTTGGAATTTTTCTTTTTTAACAATTTATTTATTTTCATTTTTATGTGCATTGGTGTTCTGCATGCACGTATATCAGTGTGAGGGTATAAGATCTTGAAGTTACAGACAGTCGTGAACTGCCATGTAGGTGCTGGGATTTGAAGGCCGAAGAACAGTTAGTGCTTTTAACCACTGAGCCACCTCTCCAACCCCGGATTTTTCTTTTATAAAAAACACTTTAAAACACTCAGTCAGCCAGGTGTGGTAGTGCACGTCTGTAATCCCAGAACTCAGGGAGGTAGAGGCAGGTGGATCTGTGAGTTTAAGGCCAGCCTGGTCTACAAAGCAAGTCCAAGACAGCCAAGGCTACACAGAGAAACCCTGTCTCAAAACAAAACAAAACATAACATTCACTCTAATTCTCAGACAAAGAATGACCTGTTACTCAGGAAGATAAGCGAATGTTTCTTCCAGGGTTCAGACCTCTGTGCTCCCCCAGGGCTTCCCCCCATCAGTGCCTGGCAGCTGCTCCCCTTGCCACTTGGAGGCTCCACACAGGTTCTTTTATCAGAGCCCCATCTAGGCAGAGGGAAGCTGAGGTTTTTTTAGAAGCCACTGAACAAGAAGCCAATACATATAAACCGAAAATAAAACTTTATAAATCAAGTTTTAATTCACTTGTACCATTTTAGAGAAACCATTTAACTGGCTAACTGCACTTGGAAAAGGCGAAGACCACACAGCTGTGTCACAGACTAGTCTCTGAGCTGACCACATGCAAGGTCCTGCAAAACAGGCTACCTGTTCTTTGAAATCCTCATAGGGCTCTACTGTGTTCATGACAGGAGGACTGGAATGTTCTACCCCCCAACCTCCCAGGAAGTAGCACATTCCTTTATACTTCCATTTTGCCTACCAAAGGGGACAGACAAGGAGACAGTCTGGAACAGATGGGCAAAGGGAAGGCACGGGGCTTGCTCTCTTGCTTCTTGAGTACAAAGTAGGCTTCCCAGAGCCTGAGGACCCACTCAATCCCTGCTGCATTGGACAAACAACCCAAAGCACTCCCAAGCGTCACCTGTTCTCTGTGCCCTTGTTCTCCAAGACAGCCAATCCTCCCTGGTCCTGCTGTTAAGACAAGGCAACACCAGAAGGCTGGAGAGGGCTCAGCCGTTAAGAGTACTTGTCACTCTTGCAAAGGACCTGGGTTTGTATTAAAGAAAAGCTGACTCCATTTTTCTTTTTAGTTAAACAATGTTAGACTTTGATCATGTCCTTAGCTAGAGGTCAACTTGGTATTTTTTTGATTTGTTCTTCCTCAATAATCTTGTGAATTGAATTACATACTGCAAATTATTTCCATTGTTCTGAGAACTGACCATAAAATGTTTCATGGTATGTTAACTGTATGACCATAAACCCATAACATGTACCTTTACTATAATCATAAAAATAACTGCAAAATTCTGTTTCTTTGTTTGTTTCTTAATCACTTGCTCATTTGCCATAAAAAAGGCCTTTTTGTGTCTGGTCTGAGCTGCTTTCATTCTTCTGCTCCCAAGGACTGTGTATGTCCTACCCAGCCATAAAAATTAAAAATTTGCCTTGCAGCACCTTGGGGTCAGCATCTGGTTTCCGACACTTGTTGGCGGTTGGTCGGATGCATGTTACTGGCCCTCGAGGTCTGGTTACACCTATCCTTGTTTTGTAAATCTGCCTAAAACAAACCTGACTGGTTGATTAAATGGCCTATACCTGTGCAGGGAAGAATGGGGTAGGCATGGCTAAGATTCCGGGGTTTAGAGAGGACAGGTGAATCACAGGAGACAGATGGATGGGAAGAGAAGAGGAAGGAAGACGCCATGATGGGTTACTGTGGAGGAAAAAAAAAACAAAAACAAAACACATGTGCTGAGAGGAAGAACTCCAAGAATGGCATAGAAAGGCCCAGATGAAGAATAGAAGCAAGTATCTTGGGACTATGAGTGGTAGACCAGATGAGGGTAGTTGAGGCATATGGCACTGGAAGGGGGCAGATGGATGGTAAGGTTTCTGAGCCAGCAGAGATGAAATATCTGCCTGCCCCAAGGTAAACCGGCAATTATAAAATCTAACAGTTGTCTGTGTCTTATTACTTGTGATGGTGGGTTAAATAATACCATCATGATCATCTTAGGGCTAGTAATAAACATTACATAGCCTAACACCATTTATTTGCTACAACAGACACCAGACATTTGAGTCCTAGCACCCACATGGTAGCTAACAACCATCCACCACTACCAGGCACCCACGTGCTGCACAATCACACGCAAAAAGAAAGAAAGGAAGAAAAAGGAAGAAGAAAGAGAGAGAAAGGAAGGAAGAAAGAAGGAAAGAAGAAAGGAAGGAAAGAGACAAAGAAGGAAGAAAAGGAAAGAGAGAGAAAAAGAAAATACAGAAAGAAAGAAGAAAGAAAAGAAAGAAGAAAGAAAGAAAGAAAAAAGAAAAAGGCAGAAAGAATCTAGCCAGGCATGGTGGCATGCACCTTTAGTTCCAGCACTTGGGATACAGAGGCAGGAGGATCTGTGATGAGTTTTAAGACAGTCAGACCTACATAACAGAAAGATCCTGTTCTCAGTAAACAAAATTTAAAAAGCTGAAAAAAAATTTACAAAAAAGTGACAGCAGGCAGGGGTGCAACTTTGGTATGTCATGCCCAGTACTGTAGCAGCAACCACCCCCAAGAAGCACACATGGACTAGGAGGAAGGGCATAGCAGGCAGTAGTCTCGGGCTCTCAGTTCCTTCAGTGCTCACAAGGCTGGCTTAGATTGGGACCATCAACATGCTTCTCATCTTGATGAATGTTACCGACTAGAATCCCAGGCTACAATGCCATCATCAGCCAGATCATCACTCCAGCTATCCTAGTGTGGTTGCTATGACTGGCAGGAGGGACTGTAAATACCTGCTCCAGAGAGCAAAGGCTCAGGGGGGAGCTGTCCCAGGACAGCCCTGCTCAGCTCCAGCAGAGGGCAGTCTGGGCAAAAGGCAGTAGGTGGCCAAGGTGCACTGAACCGGGGGTAAGAAAACCAAGAACACTCCATATGGAGTACCAGTGGCCACAGGACAGATGAAGTTAGTTCTTCATCAGGCTGATGCAGCCATGCTGGGCAGGCCTGTCTTTACTTCGGAGATGATGGGAATCTGTTTCTTACCAGAAACTTCTAAAGGTCTAATGGGAGTGACTGATGCAAATGTTTACCATTCTTCTGTGTGGATAAACAAGTGGATGCTGAGTTTGACCAACAGCTTTCACTTGTGCATTTGACTCCTAATGTGGGAAATGGCTGGACCAAGGGAGAGTATAGACACCTGGCCAGTTCTGGGGCTATAGGAGAGTTCAGATGGGCACTCCAAGGGACAGCTCAGGAGTCTGTCCATGAACCCTCTCCATACACAGACCACCACCCAAGAGTCAGACAAACACACTGTAACCATCACCTATATAGCAAAGAAAGCAAAGGGAGGAATGGTGCTACTGGGCTCACTTCTGGGAAGACATGGATTAGCTACACATAAAAAAATTGCAAAAATTAATTTTTAAAAAAATTTTTATATACCCATGATCTGCTGGAAAAGAAGGAACTGATCACTTCCCCCGCGCCCCCTCCCCCAAAGACAAGGTTTCTCTACGTAGCTCTGGCTATCTTGGAACTCAGAGATCCCCCTGCCTCTGCTTCCTGAGTGCTGAGATTAAGACCATGTGCCACCCCCTGGCCCCTACCCCAGAGTGGAACAGGTCACTTTCAAATACTCAGCAGTTGCTGATAAAAGTAAAACTGGTATGTATCATATGGCTTAGTAACCTCATTCTTAAGTATTCACCCACGTAAACGAAAACATTTGTGAATGTTCTCACACACCAAGGTGGAAAAGCCTGACACCTCCTCGAATGGTGAGATGGTGGTGCTTCCTGCCACCACTATCAAAGAGTCAATCAGGTACTGATGACTACATGTCACACGATTTTACCTAGTGACACTGAGAAAGAACTATTAACAATGCAGGACATGGTGCCTGAAGAAGACACAGAGAATAGTATGGGGCAAAGCCTTCTCTACATCTGGCAAGGGTCATGTGACTACATGCACCTGTCAGAACTCCATATATAATGGCTGTTTAGAGCAGGGATGCCAGCCCCAGTGCAGTTGAAAGAAGCTTTCCCATAGCAGAGCCCAGGCTGTGTGGTGCTTCTCTTCCTCAATAGGTCCCCACACAGCCCTTAACTAAAGGTGGGGTCCTGGCATCAAGCAGAGCCCTCCCCATTCAGCTGAACCTGAACATGGGGACAAGGCATGAGGTCTGCTCTAGAACTGCACAGCCTCCACATCCAGGTGGTGCCTTTACAGCTTGACAAAGAGTGGGCACAGTAGCCACACCACTTGGGGCAGAAAGCTGACAGACAGAGGCTGCTGAGTCCAAAGAAGCCAGTGCTTGGTGGACAGCCTCTTCTCCTACAGCTCAGGGCCACCTCGTCAGGGACCACAACCCAGCGTATGCAGCTGGAAAGTATGTGCCTTCTCCTTGGGGGTGCAGGCAGCCACTGTTTGAATTTCACAACCTCACTACCTGCCTGGCAACTCTGAATAAGGAGTCAACTGGAGCCAAGGAGGACAGAGGCAGGACTATTTCTAGTTCAAAGCTATCCTGGGCACCTAGTGAAACTCTCATCTTGAAAAGCAAAATAAACAATATATTTAATGTGTCTAAGAATCCCCGTTACGTTCTGGTGCGGCCACATTTTGTTGCAGCGTGTGGTTTCATGAGAAACTTGCTAGAGGGAGTTGGGTTAAGCAGGTTCAGGAGTCAAGACATCACTGCTCCAATTCCAGATGTGAGAGCAGCACGTGTGTTTTTGTTTCACGTCTGTGCGGTGTACACTATTCGTACTTCTGTGGGCATCTGCACACAGGTATGTATGTGGAGGTGGAGGCTGCTATCAGATCTCTTCCTCCCTGATCTCATGTTTAATGCAGGGTCTCTCACTGATCTCATCAATTCTGCTAGACTGTCTGGCCAACAAATCCTCCTGTCTCAGCGCCCTAGAACTGGCATTAGACATATGTACACTCCTACACCTAGCTTTTACTTGAGCAACAGGGATCCAAACTCATGTCCTCCTGCTTTCACAGCAAGCACTTTACTAACGAGCCCTCTCTCCAGCCCTTGCCTTTTAAAAAGGATTACTTTATCTATATCATCTGTGTGTGTGTGTGTGTGTGTGTGTGTGTGTGTGTGTGTGTTGGCAGGTCAGAAGGCAGCTTCTGGAATCGGTTCTCACCTTCCACTATGGAGATTCAGTCTTGGTGGCAAATGCCTTCACTTGCTGAACCATTTCTGGAGCATGCTTTTATTTCTGAGGCAGGAATTCATGTAGCCCAGATTAACCTTGAATATGTTATGTGGTGGAGGATGAGCTTGAATTCCTGACCCATCTGCCTGCACCTCAACCCTTACCCCCACTGGACAGTGTATATACTCTTCCTCAACCTCTTGCTTTCTTGTGATAAAACAGGGACCATCAGAGACAAAGGTGCTTTGTCTCTGCCAAGAGAAAGCAACTCACATGACAAAACTTCTATCACCAGGCAAAACCCTGAGCCGTGCTTACGTCATGCTGGGTGCTTACCTGAGAGTGAGATCCCCTCTGCCAGCCCGTACGGCAGGTAAGCAAAAATGATCATCATGCCAAACTCCAGGGAAGGCGTTTTCCTCAGGTCAATGTGCTTCAGCACGTGGCACAGGTGTCAAGGAAAAAAGGATCAGGGACCCCAGATGGACGTTGGCCAGACACAGAGACAAGTGGCACAAAAGATGCTGATTGTAGCATGGTTCCAGTGGGAAATTCCTCATTACAGAAATGAGGATCTGACAAAACAGTCAGAAATGCTGACTTAGAGGGTTGGGGCTGCAGGCATGGCCCACTGCACCTCCTGCTCTCAGGGACCCACTGCCCTGCTAAAAGGCCTGTCTTTCCTACCCCTGCACAACACCACTCATGCCACCCCTAGGAACAGAGGGACAATGTTCCCAGGCCCCGACTACAGCTGAGTTCCCATGTAATATTCATTACAAAATATGCTCCTTGAAGGCAGCCAAGTTCACTACCAACCTGGACACATATCCTTCCCCACTCTCTCTGCTGCCTCTTTTTTTATTCTCTGCCCCTTCTTCCTTTTCTTGCCTCTTTCTCAGACAGGACCTTACTATGTAGCCTTGCTCACCTTAAACTTGTAGGAATACTTCTGTCTCTGTCTCCTGAATGCTAGGATTACAGGCATGCATTACTATCTCCAACATACTTTTGGTTTTTTCTTTTTATAAAAAAATGTTTACATATGAAGAGGACCTAGCCCCTGCTCAGATGTAGCCAAAAGGCAGCTCAGTCTCCATGTGGGTTTCCCAGTAGGGGGACCAGGGGTTGTCTCAGACATGGACTCAGTTGCCAGCTCTTTGGTCACTTCCCCCTAGGAAGTTCTAAACAGGCAGTTCTAATGAGACTTGATAGGCTGGGGTCAGATGGTAGGGGAGGAGGGCTTCCCCTTTCTGAAGACTAGGGGAGGGAAGGAGGGAGGGTGACCAGGAGGAGACAAAGGGGGGGGGGGGCTAAAATCAGGATGTAAAGTGAATAAATTATAAAAAATAAAATTTAATTTAAAATGTCTACATTCTATGTATGTGAGTGTTTTGCCTGCCTGTCTGTGCACCACATACATACAGTGCCCACAGAGGTCAGAAGAAGTGTCTGGTCCTCTGGAACTGGAGTTTGAGGTGGTTGTGAGCTGTCATGTGGGTACTGGGAACTGAACTTGGGTCCTCTCTAAGGGCAGACAGTAAATTAACTGCTGAGCCTTACGTCTAGGAAAACACTGCACTGACATTGTCTAGCCTAAAAATGTGAAAACCCCTCCCCTGGTGAGTTTATCTGGAAGGATGGGAAGGCTTTCAGGGAAGTGCCTAACTCTGGGGTTAAAAGCCACCCCACCAAGCTCAGTTCCTAGCACCCAAACCAGACAGATCACAACCGCTTTTTTTTTTTTTTTTTTTTTTTTTTAATGAGAGTTCCTCTACATAGCCTTGGCTGTCCTGGAGCTTACTATGTAGACCAGGATGATCTCAAGATCAGAGATTAAAGGGACTAAAGCCATGCGCCCCCACACCAGGCTTCCCCACTCCTAACAACTCAGCTCCAGGGGATCTGTGCTCTCACCACATGCACTTACCTGCTCCCTAATTAAAAATAAATCTGCAACAAGCTACTGTTTCTAAGAAAATTCCCAGTTTTCTAGATGCAAAAACCAAGACAGTGATGGAATAATGTCACCTGCACTTGGTTCTCACCCTCCAGCAGCAGAATGCTAGATCAAATCTGCCACCCAACAGAGTGGCTCTGAAACTGGTATCCTTGCCATTTTCCCAGCACTCAGGAGGCAGAGGCAGGTAGATGAATCTGTGAGTTGAGGCCAGCCTGATCTATATAGTGAGCTGAAGGACAGCCAGGGCTACACGGAGAAACCCTGTCAAAGAAAGGAGAGAGCACCCTATAGTGTGACAGGCAACCCTGTCATCTGAGGACACCAAGTTCAAGGGCAGCTGAGGGGCCTTTCTGTCTTGAGAAATCCAACTGTCCTGACACTTCACAGGTTAAATACATAAGAGTCCTTGGGCTTACAGCATTTCTCAAACCACAATTTATCACAAAACCTTCCTTCAACAAAACTTTACATTAAAATTGGGCTCCTGAGGAAGCAGAGAAAACTGTGAGAGTGATGCCATCAAGTGTGACCCCTGTGCCTCGTGCTCCCGTGCTTAAAGGATATCAATGCTGAAATCAAGCCAGTCAGTGTGCCAAGAGCTGCAGAGCCAAAGAACATTTTGAGAAAGTAGTCAAGAGCCTGCGAGAATGTTTGCCACCCACTGACATCCGACATATGTTTTCTTGTTAGACCTTCAGCCGTGCTAGGAGAAAAGGAAACAGAAAATTAACAGTGCTATAGACCCAGTCCTTAGAATCAGCTGAGCATAACTTACTGCCTCTCCCAGAATTCCCTTTCCCACCATTCAACCCACCCGCCACTAGAGATGTCTATGGCCACCTACTTGTCCAGGCACTGAAGTGGTTTCTGGGGCTCAGAGGACAGGACAAAGGCTGTTCTTAGAAGCTGCCCTGGATAATGAGGGGGAAGGGCAGAGCTGTGAAAAAGGGTGGGCATCTAACTCAGACTGGGTTAGGGACAATCCAGGAAGGTTCCCAAGGCACAGACTAGACTTCCATTTAGAATACAGGGGCATGAAGACATGCAAGAGGCCTACTAGGCTGAGGAAACAGTGTCCACGGCTACAGGCTTGAGTGGGAACATTCAAGTACATGGAGGATGCGGGTTGGAAGGGTCAGCGGTTCACCCTCAAAGACCTCAGCTGCCAACTGCTGAGCATAGAAATCCTACTGTAAAACTCCAGATGGGGCTCTGGCAGGAAGTTGGGTGGGCGGATGCTAGGAAAGGAGTCAGAGCTTTAGGCTAAGAGGGGGACTCAGGAAGCCCTGAGAGGAGCTGGAAGATCCTCCCTTTCATTGTGCCAGCAAAGCAGCTGTGGGAAGCAGGTCAGCAACTGCTTTGTCCTCAAAGAGAAGAACACTATTAATAAAGAGCTGTTTGGGCTGGAGAGATGGGTCAGCAGTTAAGGGCACTGTCTGCTCTTCCAGAGGACCTGAGTTCAATTCCCAGCAACCACATGGTGGCTTATAACCATCTATGTCATCTGATGCCCTTTTCTTGCATGCAGGTGTACGTGCATATAGAACATTCATATACATAAAAATAAGTAAATAAATCTTATTTTTTTAAAATAAAAAAGAGCTGTTCTTGATAAATCAGACTCTCAAAGGTCTCCTGCTCTCTGTCCTGGATCCATCCCTCTTCCCTAAGGATGCCCACCTGTCTTCCAGCCAGGACTGTATCAGCAGCCGAAGTGATCCCCTAAATCACACACTTGCCAAGGTACCAGCTTCTCCAAAGTGTCAGCACTACTCTGACCTCTCTGCTCAATCTCTTCTCTCAGTGATGGCCTACATGGACACTGGTGTTTCCCAGTAGGTCATTCTCTGACGTCCCTGGCTCTGCTAACTCACCTGTCCCTAGGGACAGTACCCTTCTTCCCTCAGACACTTTTCCTGAGATCGTCACAGAGGCCAACCCATTTCCAGGTCCCTAAAAGACAGCTTCTCCTTCAGAGTGCAAGGTGGCTACAGCGGTACTCTCTCCATCCTATTCACTGAGTGTTCTGGGCCTAATCACAGCCCAGGTTTTCAAGAGCCTCAGCACGTGCCTGTGGAACCAGTTGACAGAACTATGAACCATTCAGCTTCACTAACTGCTATTCCACCTGCAAGGAGAATGATCTTTGATGAAAGAGCAGCTTGGCCAGGTGACCTCAGATTCCCGGTAAGCTTCACAGGCTGGAGGAACATGACACAGTTTTGAGAGGTCTCACAATACAAAAACCCGTCCTCAGGAGCCACCAAGATGAAGCAGAAGACAGAGACACCTGCAGCAAAACCTGAGGGTCAACTGCTGAAAGAAGTGTTCTGAGATCCAAATTCAGACTGTGTGTACAAGTACACACACACACACACACACTAAACAGAAGTGGACACTAAAGAAACTCCTGGCTGGGCAGTGGTAATGCACACCTTTAATCCCAGCATTCAGAAGGCAGAAGCAGGTGGATCTCTATGAGTTTGAGGCCAGCCTGGTCAACAGAGCAAGTTCCAAGAAAGCCAAGGGTACACAGAAAAACCCTGTCTCAACAAACAAACAAAAACAAAAATGAGTAAGAACTCTTCACACAGGTTTCCTGAATCCCTAACTGTGCTTGCTTCTCTGTCCATGGTGTTAATAGCTTCCCCAATAAACTACTTATTCCCTTAGTGATCCATCTTAGTGTCCCTCGGGAACACACCCCATTCCAGATCTCTCACTGTGCAGTTCAGCTCTTTATTTCCAGCTAGAATAGACTAATTTGGTGCCTGCCAAAAAATCTAACTGGTTGTTATAGCTGAGGACCAGCAGGTGGCTTGGGACCTCTAAAGAAATGAAAACAGATTTATACCATCAAGATCTAAGTCGGGCCCTTCACAGCAACTGACATAAGAACAAAGTGTAACAGCAGCTAATTAAAGCTAGAAATGAGCAACTGGGAGATTGAAAGAGCAGGAGTTCAAGACCAGCCTGGTTTACAGGAGAGACTGTCTCAAAAACAAATGACAAAACTGCCATACCACTAAATAAACAAACAAACAAATAAATAAATTAAAAAAAGAACCAGGATGGGCTTTACTTTGCAGAAACCTCAAAACCAGACTGGTAAGACTGTCTCAAAAACAAATGACAAAACTGCCACACCATTAAATAAATGAATGAATGAACGTAGAAATAACCTAGTTAAAGAAGAACCAGAATGGGCTTTACTTTGCAGCAACCTCTAACTGGAGGCCCTTCCTCCATTCCTATGAAGAACTGCATACTTCATTTGCAAAGGTGAGATGCCTGACCACTTTGGAAAGACCTGTGGACAAGCATCTCCTCAGAACCTAGGAGGGAGAGCAGCTGGGTAGTTTAGAGGCCAATGAAAAGGGGACCAACCTTCTATTCCCATTCTTCCTGTTTCTTTCTAAAAATGCTCACTGGCCTTCAGGCCTGGGGCATAAGATAGCCTTTCTGGAATCCTCCATGGCATTCCTGCTCTTTACCCTTGCACTTTACTTCTCTTTGGCCCACTGTGGACAAAAGCAGTCAAATCCAACTGGAATGTGCATAGCACAGGCAGGAGGCCTTAGAGTGCTGTAACCCATAGATTTTGGCAGTAATGGAGGTGGCCATGACAATGGAAAAGGAGGTTGCCCATTCTACATACATGCAGTCCACAGAGCCATCTGCAGGACTGTCTCTGGTGGCCTTCAAAGCCACTTCCTGTAGATATGTGATGACGTCTTTTCCCATTTGTTTCAAAAATATCTCTTCATCTTGGCAGCTGTGTGGCAGGGGCCTGGGAAAGCTGACATTTTCCTACTGACAGATTTTTCTTCAAAGAAATCAGAGGCAGAGCAATTTAGTTTCTGCTGCTAACCATAAAAATAGCTCATGCCATCACCTCCAAGTAGGCAAGTCCTCATCACAACACCATGTGCACCAGGAGATGAGATGAAAGCAAAACCCAGAGCGAAGGAGCTTTCAGAATATAATGTTATGTGGGCTCAGGGTGACATGTCGCCCAGACTGACCTCCAACTCCTTATGTAGTGGAGGATGGCCTTTAACTTTTGATCCTCCTGCATCTATTTCCCAAGTGCTGGGATTACAGGTATGTGCTGTAATGCCCAGTTGTATGTGGTGCTGTGATTGAACCCAGGGCTTTGTACATGATGGCAAGTACTGCACCAACTAAGTTAAACTTTCAGGAAATAGCTTACAGAAGAAAAACAGTTGCTGTCAATGCTTTAAAGGCGTTTGTGGTGGTTTGATAGGAATGTCCTCCATAGACTCAAGTATTTGAATGCTTGGCTATAAGGAGTGGTACTATCAGGAGGTGTGGCTTTGTTGGAGGAAGTATGTCACTGTAGGGCAGGCTTTGAGGTCATAAATGCCCAAGCTACACCCAATGTGACCCGTAGTCTCCTGCTGCCTGTGGAGCAAGATGTAAAACTCTCCTCCAGGACCAACTGCCATGTTTCCCTGTGTTATGTTGTGCAGGCAATTCAACTGGCCTGCCCTTAGGGGCCTTTAGGATCCTGACAAGTCCTATGTCATTACCTGTATCCTAGACAGATAGAACCAGTCTGTCACTCTCACCTGTGCGCTCATACATGTGCTTGCTCTCTCTCTTTCTCTCTGCTTTTGTTTCTGTCAGGGCAACCCCTCTCCCTATCTCTGTCTTTCTGTCTTTGCAACCTCATGGCTCACTCAGACCCTAACTCTCTTCTGCCTCCCTTCCCCCAAATAAGCTTTCATATAAGATCTGTTGTATGCATGGCATCATTTTTATAAATATCCTAACACCCCGCCATGATGATAATGTAAGCCAGCCCCAATTAAATGTTTTACTTTATAAGAGTTGCCGTGGTCATGATGTCTCTTCACAGCAATAAAACCTAACTAATACAGAAGTCGGTACCAGGAGTGGGGTATTGCTGTGATAGGCCTGACTATGCTTTTGCTTGGAGGAATGTGGATTTGGGGGCTTTGGGTTTAAAAAAACAGTAGAATGCTTTAAGTGCTACTTAATGAGCCATCCTAGTAGAAGCAAAAGCAATCGTGCTGGAGGTGGTTTGAACTGTGGAGGCCTGGCTCAAGAGGTTTCAGAGGAGAAGAATTTTAGTATGTGGTCTACAGATCCTTCTTGTGATATCCAGTTGATGATGTTATCTTAGACAATTTTATTAGCTGTGCTCAATGGGAAAGTTGCAACCTAATATTGGGGTGTAAACCCAGCCAATACCCAACCAAACACAGTATCCATATGCTAACAGCAAATTGCTATCTGTAATTACCCCTTCAAGAAAAGATCATACATATCAGGGTCACATACAGATAGCCCAGGCTAGCCTCAAATTTACTATGTAGCCAAGGATCACCTTGAAATATCTTTCTTTTACTCCCACCTTTTTTTTTTTTTTTTTTTTTTTTTAACACAGGGCATTTTTATTATTTAGCCCTAGTTGAACTAGCTCTGAAAGCCTAGGCTGGCCTAGAACTCACAGAGATCGATCTGCCTCTGCCTCCCCTGTGCTGGGGTTAAAGGCACATGCCACCAATGCCCAGCGAAATAAATATACAGATTTGTTTTAAAGAAAATAAAACAATTTTGCAGCTTCCAAAGTATCTTTTCCACAGCTGCTGAATGAGGACAGGGCCTGTCTGCCCGTCTGTCTCTGTGGAGCTGGATGTGGCACCACAGATTCTTACAGGGTGAGCAAGCCCTCACACTAGCCCACGTTAAATTCACTAATCTAGCACTGCTGCCCGAACACTAATTCCCCATGTGGCCGACAGGGCGTATAACTCAGACCCACTGCAAAAGAGGCTATGCAGTGGGACTGGAACGTCACCTCTGAGAGGACCTGTTAATGCTGAGAATCATGGAGGTCAGAAAACACATCCAACTCCCTGTAGCAGCATGGCTGTGACATACCCCTGCGGCACAGACCCCTTGTTAGAGTGCTAAGATGCAGGGAGGCAGTAGTGAGCTTATCACCAGGACCTGTGTCCTGGCATCAGTGTGCTGCCGGAACCTTCCATTCTCTCCTACTTACTTGGTTAGAACAATGGAGACTGCATCGTTGAGAATGCTTTCTCCAAACACCAGCATGTTGAGCACAGGGTCCACGTGCAGTGCATTGAAAATTGCAATAGTAGCTACTGGGTCGACAGCAGATATCAGGGAGCCAAATGCAAAACTGCAAGGACAGAAACAAGGGCAGATTCTATAAAGCATGGTGCTGGATCCACACAGCTGCACTTCGAATATGATGCCAAGATGGCAGCTGAAGAGCCAACAGAGAGGGTGTGCTTCTCCCCCCACCCTGCCTGCCTTGCACAGGAGCAGAGAGGCCTAGCAGCAGTGCTGAGAATGCCTCGTTTCCCAGCAGCAACGCTGCACTCTGTTCTAGCTACTGTTGCACAGAAATCTGATTACCCTAACGTGTAGTGCCCAGCTTTCTCGGCCAAAAGTCCTAGAAACTATTGGCTTTGACCTCTACTCTGCCACCAGGGCCAGACGCTCCACCTCCTCTTCACCCTCATCACCCACAGTAACATCAAGGAAGATTAATGGCTCAACTGTGTCCCACAGGAGCAGTGGGCTGTGCTCTGCAGAGGTTTTGCATAGAGTACATCAGGCAGACAGTCTCCCATCTCCTTGCCCAGCACACACTCCCACCTTCTATCCTTGTGTATCAAGGGGTAGACACAGTACACAGGTTTGGACTGGCTTTACCAGGTCACTGGGAGCAGACTGATCCTTGGTGAGGAGTGCCTAGAGTTGGCTATGCCCCATGTGAGATAAACAACTGGAAGTGGACACCAGCAAGGGGAAAGCTGGTCTGAGACCCCCGAAAGGAGCATGTCCTCTCAGGGAGTGCTAAACTAGAGCCATCCTGTTCCAGGCACTTCAGGCCTATAAGCCAACAACCCTTTTATGTTACGTTAGTCCCTACTGGGCTGAAGGTGTACAGCGAGAAGCCAAGTGCTTTATCACAGTTACAGCGGCCTCTTGACCACAGCTGGGATGAGGGTCACAGGCATGCATGGAGAGAAGCGAACATAGGGAAAGCTAACACAGATGCTGGTGATGCAGCTGAGAAGGAGGCCACAGGCTGCACAGCGTCTCCATGTCCAAGACACATTCTTAAGAATGCAAGGCTGAGGACAGGCCTTGTGGAGAGAAGCCAGCATATTACATTGGTGTCTGCTGGGAACGCAATTGGCTGGGGCCCTTCTGACCTTGGGCTGGCACTTGAGGCTTCAAGAGGTCTGGCCAGCAGTGGCTCCACATCCACTGTCAGGACCCAGTTCTTAAAGGACTTCAAACAACTGGCTCAAGCTAAAAATGTGTTCCTTTATTCTCTCCCTCAAAAGTTAGTATTACCAACAAAAGGTGAAAAGACAGGACAGGGGACTTGGGAAGGAGCAGGAACAGGGAAAAGAAAAAAGGAAAGAAGGAAAGGAGGGAGGGAAGGAGGGAGAGAGACACACACAGAGACAGCAACAGAGACAGAGAAAACTTGGCTGGTGAGGTGCTATAGCCTACTCAGGGCAAACCCTCACCAGCAGAAATATTTGTGGCCAGGTCCATGCCACCAATCATGGCTGTGTTCTCTGAAGTGTAGAAGCTGCGACAGGCAGCCTATGGGTCTGTGGGAAAAATGGTGTCATCAACACTCAAAAACTGGAGCAAATGGCTGGGTATGGCACACCATTAATGCCAGCACTTGGGAGGCAGAGTCAGAGATAGAAGCAGGCAGATCTCCAAGAGTTCAAGGCCAGCCTTCTATATAGAGATTTCCAGGTCAGTCAGGGCTGCAGAATGATACCCTATCTCAAAAAACAAGCAATAAAACTGAAGTAAGGTATGGTGGTAAAAATTTCTAATTCCAGCAGGAAGGTAGAGGGAGGAGGATAAGAAATTCAAGATCATCCTTAGTTATACAGCAGGTTTGAGACTTGCCTGCTCTACATGAGATACCATGTCAAGAACAAAAACCATCCAAAAAGAAACCAACTGAAACAAAATTGGAAAAATCCCCATTAACATCTACAAACTTGGATTTTAAAAATACCCACTTGTGTGTGTGTAGGGTGAGGGATATTCCCAGCCTCTTGGCTAAAAACAAGTGTAGACACATTGTTTTAAATCAGACGAGTGGCATATACATACAGCATCTGCCTTCCTAGCGTGAGATCCTGGAGTTCATCCCCAGCATAAGAAAAGCTTTTTAAACAGCTTTTTAAATTGCAGTAATTGCAGGCCACACGTCCACATGGCAATCAAGAGATCTGTGACAGCAGCGCTTGCCTGTGGCCACTGTCAAACCTCCTTACCCGGGCAGTTAAGGTTCTGCTGTCCAACACAGTGGTCCCCATCCAACAGACAGAGCTCCTACAGAAAGAGTGCACCTGCACAGGGTGAGGCTGGGGGCTCTCCCGCTTAGCCACAAGCGCTACTCGTGTCTCCACCTGAACCTGCAGCTACTGGCTTTAAGTTTGTCCCTGACATTGATCAACACTGTGCTTCTTCACAAATATTTCCCAAAGCAAGCAAAAACCAACAACTTCCTTTATGTCAAGAGGCTCTGGGCATTTCCCTCCCCTGTAGCACACCTAGAAAATACCAGGAACTGGTTCTGTTGTAGGAAGCAAGGAGACTCAGGATGCTTGTCTATGTATCAAAACTTCCTGAGCTGTTCACACATCTGTAATCCCAGCACTTGGAAGGCTGAGGCAGGAGGACTGCCTCAAGGTTGGGAGCAATCTGAGCTACAGAGAAGACCCTGTCACACAAAAAAGAAAACTTTTCTACAACAAAAACTCCAATATTCCTGCCTGAGGAGGGCAAGGGGTGGGTACTGTGGGTCAAGGTTGTTATCAGTGGCCCATTTCCCATGATAGGTTCTGAGGTTCTGGTCCAAGGTGCTACCCTGTAGCTAAAGCCTAACACTCTCAGTTCACAGGAACAATCTGGAACCGAGTCCTTGGCCCTATTCCTCAGCTCCCCACCAGCCCCAAGACCAGAGAGTGGACACAGGACAGAGCAAGCTCAGCATTGTAGACTTCTCGGGCTGCACTAGGCCTGGGTCCTTTTGTGAACGACACACAGCTGCCTTAGTTGCTTCTCCCGAGTGGACTAAGATTCTAAGAGCTGATGAGAAGGTCACTGCATAATGTCTACTGGAGTGGCTTCAGACTGAGAGGATGTCCACCACCATCTTGTATATACAGATATATATCTAGATAGATTATAGATCTAGATATATGTATCTATCCACTAGATCTAAATATATATGTATCTAGATATATGATCTATATATGTACCTCCATCCCCAGGCTCTAAAGACAATTCTTAACAAACGACCGAGAATTATATGATGTGGTATGGAGATGTGTTGGGGAAGCTAACTGACTCGTTATTTCCTCTAAAGCTTAAGTGAAAAAAAATCAGTTCAATCAGCAGTATTATAACTAGGGTCTTCAAAAGTATCAATATAATTTTGAGTCATTTCAGAGGCAAATTAATTCAGAATAGATTCTATACTGGAAACATTGGCAAGCCAGGCAGGGGGAGAGGGAAAGGCCCACACCCAGGAAGCCACGTGCAGAAAACATCCCAGGCCTGAACAGCAGTTGCATGGGGGAATTACAGTGTGAAAGATTTACCTGTCTGTCATGTTGAGCTTAGAGATTACATCAGCCTGTAAAATAAAACACACAAACACACAGACACACACAAAAAATTCCCTGGAGAATAGCCAGGAAGATTAAAATGTCCATCAGTGCTTTCTTATAAACTAATAAGGACATTATCTTCAGCCCCCACTGAAAATAAGGAACCCCCCATGGGCTGCTGGGAGCATGCGTGGGAATCTAGCCAGGAGCTTGGGCACAGTTGTCTTCTCTCAGTCTGGCAGCTGTGGTTCTCTGCTCTAAAGGTTTCTACCCTTGGCCCTGAGGGAACACGGCGAAGCCAAGCTCTAGGAAAGCTTCAGGGCAGACTTGATCTTGGCTGCTGAGTGGGCAGTGAAGGTAACATAATCAGCGCAAGTGGGCTCTGGCTACCAGGAGAAACAGCAGCCATGACACACAACCTGCCAGCACTCTCAGCTTGGTTTGTTCACAGCACAAACCGAGTTTGCACTGGAGTGGCTAAGCTTTCTATACATGGTACAACAAATGGGTGGTGCAGGGCATACACCATGGAGGTCTGAGTGCCACTTTCCCAGGGATTCATTCCAGCTAAAGTAAGCTGATATGAAGCCCAAAGCCCAGAGCATGGGCCACTGCCTCAGAAAAGGGCCGACAATGGTGGGAGCACCATGGGAACTGAGTGAAGAGATTCATAGCCAGCTCTGGTTTCAATACAGATCTTCATTCAAGAGCAACTTTCAGCCCTGCCACAGTCTCCCTGAGAACACAATTGCCACTCGCACCATCTCAAACTGTGGTAATGCATGTTCCTCTGCTGTGAGGCATTCCAAGTGAAGAGAACACTGCAAGTAAAATCAAGTATCTGGGGTGATAGCAGTCCCTTCAATTCCAGATACCATCGTCACATGCATGAGCAGGAAGGGACTTCCTCCTAGGAGGACACACACTACCAGGCATTTCAGGCCTGGAGGTCCTGTCCCACCCTGCACTACCCTCCAACGGAAGACTGTCAAGGTCATTGGGGGTGCTTTTCTTACCTGACCCAGAAAGTAAATTCCTCCGCCTACTACAAAAGCAGAGATGGCCGTTCCAAAGACAGCGAAGAGGGTGATGGAGCCGATGTTCTGAAAGAAGTTCCCCTGGGAGAGGGAAGCAGAGGGACAGGAGGCCAAGTGATGAGCTGGGGAGGCTGCACCCGTCTTCATCCAACTGCGCCCTCTCCAAAGCTGAACTCTCACATAAAGGTCAGGGCACCCTTGCCTGCCCTGCACTGCTGGCTGGAACCCCTGCACTACTCCCAGCTTCTCTGACTCACAGGTCCCTCACCTTGACCCAAGGCAAGAGCTAACCGGTCTCAGTTGTCCTCAGTCCCTTTCCCTCTACTGTCAACTTCTTCCAGAATGACTTCTTCAAAAGCTCCATTTGATGGTGCTGCCTCTGCCAGGCCTGGCCGAGCCTGGGAAGGCCTGTGCCTTCATGTGGTAGCATGGAGCCTTGTTACCTGGGCAAATCCGGATGTGTGCCTTATGCTAAAGCTCCTCCATGGGTGGGGGGGGAGGTCTTCCCTTCTCGTCCTCCAGCTAGCACTCAGGAGGAAGCTGGCTGTCCTCTCTCACTCAGTACAGTTGACTGACATCTGCTTTATCTACAAGGCTGAAGGCTCAGCAGGAACAATGGCATCTGCCAGATGAACAATGCTTAATACAAGGTGTGGAAAGTAACAACCATTGTCCATATTTGGTTTCAGTCTAAAATCTACACTATCATACTCAATTAAAAGGTGTATTTTGAAAAGGCTCCTAAGTTCAAAGATCAGAACAATGGTCTGTGTTAGGTCCCAAAGAAACCTGGGGCGAACAGCTGCTAGGCTCTCTCAAAGTATCCATCACAGAGCTCTGGCTCATCTCAATACTTCTCACTCCCATCCTCTACCCTAAACCTCTCCAGCCCCTGATCTTCCTTCCCTTCCCCGAGTTTCTCTTGCCTACATAACTCAGCCACAGGTTCTCTTTGCTCTACTCTTGGCTCTCCCTTGGTCCGCTCTCTCTTCTCTCTCTCTCTCCTCTCATGGCCTGGTCTATTCTGCTAGCCATGTTCAGTCTGGACCCTTTCAGATGCCTCTGTTGTTCTCTCCCTCATATGTGCACTAAAGACCTTCTCCTTAACCATTCCTAAGAGCAGTCATGTCCTCATTTTCTTTCAGTGAGAAAGTCCTTTATGCCGTATTAACATCCATCATCAGACAGACAGGCAGAGGGCTCAGCTCAGGCGGGGTTTAAGTGGCTAGAGTGCTTTCAAGAAGCCTTGGCTTCAACCCCAGCAGGGCATACACCAGGTGCTGGGCCACATACCTGTAATCCTAGTACCTAGGAGGTAGAAGCAGGAGGATCAGAAGTTCAAGGTCTTTCTCAGCTACACAGGAAGTTCCAGGCCAGCCTGGGCTACCCTATCTCAAAAGAACCCAAACCATACAAGACAGAAAATATTTGAGTCCATGCAGCACAGAAACAGTTTCCACATTTCCACATGATGAAGGAAATGAAGCTACTAGAACTTCGCAGACTCCACTCAGGAGGCACCACTAAGGGTTTCAACGACCAAGAATCTTGTTCACTTCAAGAGTATCCTCTGGGTGGGGTTGGGAGAGACATGGCTCAACAGTTAATACAATGTCCTATGGCTAGAAGTGATGATTTTATAGGTTTTTAATACTAGCACGCAGGAAGCAAGACACAGTGAGGTTCAGGCCAGCCAGGGCCACACAATGAGATCTTGTCTCAAAAGGAAAAAAGAAAAAATGCCTTCTGCTCTGTAGTTGCCTGAACCATCACGGCCTTCAAAACACCCACCCAGAAGCTCAGGACACTCATGCTGAGCTCCCAGGGGCTACTGCTGTTAAAGTGTACCAAACTCTTGGGGAGCCTGCCCCATAGACAGGCACCACTCCAGGTGAGCCTTACCTTGTGTAGTGAGTATCCCGACTCGAAGATGATAGGCGGGAGCAAGAGAAGGAAAAACATATTGGGACGAAACATTTCTTCCTCCTGTAAAGTCAAAAAGGGAGAACACTCAGAGAACTGGACTGCAGAACCAAGAACCTGTGAGCCAGTGGACTGCTGAGGAAGCCTGTGCTCAGGGCCTTGCTTGGCAGACCTGTACACTGCTGAAGCAGCCACCTGGTAACGAGCAGAGCAGAGACAGTGTCACCAACTGCATCTGACACACAGCACAGGACCAGCAAATGGCTCTGGCTGCCATCGCTGAGGACCCGTGTTTGACTTCCAGAAGCATAAAATGAAGGATTCCGCAAGTTATGTGGATGCTTCAGAGGGTAAAAATCTAGAGCTTCCGGAGAAAGAAGAGCTGTTTTGCTGGGGTTGCAGTGTTCCCCCAGTCCAGTACAGCGGGAAGTTTGGACCATGACCTAACTTGGAAATAGGGCCTTTGAATGTCAGCCCAGGAATGGAAGTGAGGACAGGATAGAAGCAGATGACGGGGCACACACCCACCAGCAGTGTGTTTCACTTTCTTTCATGTTTTTCTTGCTGCTGGGAATAGAACCCAGGCCCTTATGCTGAGTTAAGAGAGCATCATTTGAGTCAGAAAAAGACACAGAGATCCAGAGACGGCCCCACAAATAGGTCCCATGAGCCTTTGGCCATGTCCCAAGAGTGGTCTGAGGCAACCTGAGCAGTATAGGTCCCACACCACTACCCAACAGATCAAGAAACCTGAGTGCTTTTCCCCCCTTCAAAATTTTGCTTTCTTGTCAGGCATGGTGGTACAATGCCCTTGATCTAAAGATTTGGTAGGTAGAGGCAGGAGGATCTCTCGGAGTTCAAGGCCAGTCTGGTAAATAGCTAGCTCTACGACAGTCAGGACTACATAGAACTGTCACAAAACAAAACAAGAAAACCAAATTCTGCTTTCTTAATTTTCTTAAAAAGATTTGTTCCTGGTGCTAGAAAGATGCCTCAGTGGTTAAGAACATTGGTTGCTCTTGCAGATCTAGGTTCGATTCCTAGCACCCATACAGATGGTAACAACCATTTGTTACTTTAGTTCCAGGGGATCTGATGCCCTCTTCTGGCTTCTGTGAATACTAAGCACAAATGTGGTACACAGACATACATGCAGAAAAAACATAAATCTCAAAATGTAGGGGCGTGTGTGTGTGTGTGTGTGTGTGTGTGTGTGTGTGTGTGTGTGTGTAACAGAAGAAGGGGTCAGGTCCCTGGAGTAGTAACTCATGTTTTTGAACTGCCTGCCCAGAATAGGCACTGGGATCCAGTCCTCACAACAGAGCAAGCATTCCTTTTTTTTTTTTTTGGTTTTAGAGACAGAATTTCTGTGTGTAGCCCTGACTGTCCAGGCCTCAACCTCAGAGAGCCACACCTGATTCTGCCTCCCAAGTGCTGGGATTATAGGTATGAGCCAATACAGTCCAGCCCAAGCAAGTATTCTTGCCCACAGCCATCTCTCCACCCACACTCCACTTGGGTCTTTTCAAACCCCAAGTAGTCACAGCACCTCAGTGTATATTCCAGGCTACAGCACTAGGCACTGCCTCTTGAGCAGCCCATACTTAGCATGTTCAAGACCCTGAGCTCCAACCTCAATACCAAATTAAACAAAGGACTGCACAGAAGGGTCTATGGCATTCACCTGTAGTCCCAGTTACTTGAGAGGCAGGAGGATTGACAATTCTAGGCAAGCCTGAGCATAGAGAAATCTTGTTTCAAAAAAACAAACCAGCTGAGTCTGGTAGCAACTCCTTCATTCTCAGCATTCCGGACAGAGGAATCAAACATAAAGACAGGATGCACACTTGGAATCCCAGCACCCAGGGAGGCAGACATGAGGGTGCCAGGGGTTCCACAGCCTATAGTACATGGCCTACGTGATGAGTTTTAGGCTAGTGAGAGACCTATCTCAAAAAATAAGGTGAAAGAGCCTGGTGTGGTGAACACCTGTGATCCCAGCACTCTGGGAAGCAGAGGCAGGCGGATCACTGTGAGTTCAAGGCTAGCCTGGTTTACAAAGTGAATCCAGGACAGCCATGGTTACCCAGAGAAGTCCTGTCTCAAACAACAATAACAATAAGGATAAGGTGAATGGGATGAGGAACATGTGACATCCAGACTGCTGACCTCTGGCCTCCACACATGTGCACACACATTCACATACACACAATGACAAGGAAAAGCTGTGATTATGTCAAACCTACCTTCCAATTTGCCAGCTTTTTAAACTCTATAATTTTTATAACTGCTCCCATGAGAATACCTGGAAGGAAAAGCAAACTTAGTAGAAACTTAACCCAAGGCTACTTGGCAGGACTGGGCAGGGCTCTAAAGACCGGGCGGTACCCATTACAGCAGGGTGTCCTGGAGTTCCGCAAGTCTGTGTCTGAGAACGAAGCCCAGGAAGGATCAGGAAGGGACTGGTGTAAACCACAGTGGGCTTCCACTTACATCTCAGCTGAACACACCATGGCAACCCCTCAGCTATGTGGGGAGAAGAACGATGGTGGCACACACGCCTTTAACCCCAGCCCTCAAGAGGCAGAGGCAGGCAGATCTCTGAGTGTGAGGACAGCCTGGTCTACAGAGTGAGTTCCAGGACAGCCAGGGTTACATAGAGACCCTGTCTTGAAAAACCAAGGAAAAAAGCAAAAAGCAAAGCCTGCTTGGGACTGCTCTGACTGGTGTGTGACTCACTGATGGTCACCCTCCTGTAACACAGTTTCAATGAAAAGCAGCAGAAGCCTGGAAGGCAGACGTGTCCTACACTACTCATCCTTACTGCCAACACTTAAAACTGGGGGTGGTGTGGGTGGGTGAGAGGGCTCAGTTGGTAAAAGCATTTGCCACCAAACCTGATGACCTGAGTTCTAATCTTTGTTGCTACAAAGAGAACCAAACCCCCAAACTGTCTTTTGACCTCTGCATATGCACAACAGCAAGTGTACAAACATACAGTTGTTGGCGTGGTTTATAATGAACGGCAGGCTGAAGTAAACAGAGGTCAGTTTGGAGACTCAGATAGCCCAGACTGGCCACAAACTTTGTAGCTAAGGACAGCTTTGAACTTCTGTTCCTCTCACCTCTGTTTTTTTTCCCTCCCCCCTTTATTTTCTACAATGTTATCCAACTTTGTGTCCTTTCCTTTTATTTTTATTTTACTTAAATAATGTGGTGGTGCACATCATTAACCACAGCACTCAGGAGGTAGAGGCAGGCAGATCTCTGAGTTCAAGGGCAGCCTGGTCTGCAGAGTGAGTTCCAGGACGGCCGGAGCTACATTGTGAGACCCTGTCCTCAAAATACAAAAACCCAAACCAAAATCATCACGTCCCTATATGCTGCCCATATTTAGTCTTGGATGTGTCGTCTTTTACCAGGGGCCATATCCTTCCCTGTCCCAGCAGCTCTGAGCTGTCTGGAAGGGGCAGAAGTCAGCTGAGCACCCGCATACTGAGTGCGCTCCAGGTTTCCCTCCATGAGCTGTCACCCTTGCACGGAAGGCTCTGGGTGATGTAGTTGTTTTTCAGTCATTTCTGTTCCTGTGAGTAATGCCTCAAAATACAGATATCCAGAAAGCTGTGAATAAGGAGCAAGCAACCCTCTTAAGAAGTACAACGGAAACTTCTCTACAGTGAGGGAAAAGACAGCCAGGCTCTCATTCAAAGCACAATAAGGTGAAAGGGGACATGCTTTTAAGTATGGCTGGAGCTCCTACTCTTAGAACACTTAGCTTTAACACAAAAGGACTATATGTGCTAAGCATGTGCAGGCCACAGGGAACTAACCACTGGAAGTCTACGCGAGGGGGCAGACAGGACATTCTTGAGGTGGCCACCTCAGCGCTGTGACATCACGCTCCAGGAGGAGAGGGTGTTTTTTTCCGTGTTGTCATTTAAAAACTCGTTTTTTCATTTTCTATGTTACAGTGTATGGAGCTCAGAGGACAAGGTGGAGACACCAGTTCTTTCCTTCCACCCCATATGGCAGCAGGAGCTCACACTCAGGCTGAAGGCTTAGCAGCAAGCTCCTTTACCCTCTGAACCATCTTGCCAGGCCAGGGAATTTAGGAAATAGGCTGTTCTGTCCACTCCATCACCATTTCAAGTTCTAACCACTCCTCACATGAGAAACATTCTGGACTTCAGTGTGCTACAGACTCAAACTACAGACTCAAGTGTGCTCTGTACCTCTGCGCAGATAAGCCTTCTTTATCACCAGACAGCGGCTTGTGCCGCCATCAGTGAAGAAATGGTGCACATCAGTGAAGAATGGTTCTACCCCACTCTGAATCTGAGTAGCAGTCAGGCAGCAGCCTACAGCCAGAGGGCAGAGGCAGCCTTCTCATGGTAACTGCAGCTGCAGGGCTGCTAACTAAGCAGCCTGCCTGACAGAAGGCAGAAAGAAAGCACCAGGACCAGGAGTGATGTGGTCACTGGGGACGTGGGACCAGAAGCCTCCTACTTGTGGGTTTTTTGGTTGTGTGAGTCCAGAGGTATGCAACTGCACTCCCACTTGTCTGAGTCAGTTTAAAAGTGACTCTATCTCTTTAATAGAAGGAGTTCAGCTCCAGTCAAGATATTTTTAGCAGCAAGCAGGAGGAGCTGACATTTAAACAGTCTCTAGGAACAGTTACTAGTCCTGGAACAGGCAGCACTGCAGGTTATTGTGGGCTGTCAGGTCAAGAAAACAATGAGAGAACCAAGACTCTGGATTTCCCATCCATCCCCTTGGCCATACTCAATATTCTGGCTTTTGTTTTTGAACCACGTAATTGCAAGACAGCTACCAGCGGTCCAGGCATCAAAGGAAAAGAAGAGTAACTTCTCTTGATTCTAGCAGGATAGAAAATGCTTTCGGAACCCCACAACCCCAGCATACTTCCCCTTAGTCCCACTGCCTCACCCCCCTCAACCAATCACAGTAAAGTGTGTAATTATCACAATAGCCAAGACCAACCCCTTTACTTGTGTTCCTCCTTGAGTCCCACATAAAGAAACCTGATCAAAATAAGGATTCCAGAGGCAAGTGGGAATATAGCTCAAAGGGCAGAGCACCTGGGGCCTAGCACCTGTCTAAGTTAGGGTTCTATTTCCAAGAAACAAGGGGCAAAGGGCTTTTGCTGGCAGCCGTGTCTGCTGAGAGCTTGAGGGCCGGCGGGGGTGTCACCCACATGCAGCAGGCTGTCTATGTGTGTATATGCCCACATGCCCACTAGGAGATGCTGATATGGATGCCGGGGACTAAATCACTGAGTCACCTCTCCTGCCCTTCATTTTTTTCTTGAAGATTAAAAAAAAAAAAAAAAAATTATGTGTGGATGTTTTGCCTGCATGTATGTCTTATACACCACATGCATACCTGTTGCCTGAGAGCATCAGATCCCCTAGAACTAGACTTACAGAGGTTGTGAGCTGTATATGTGTGCTAGAGTCCAGACCAATGTTCTTAAACCCCTGAGCCAATTTTCATTCTTTTATTCCCGCCCCTGCCCAGGGTAACCCTGAGTGTCCTGGAACTCCACACATAGTGTTAAGACCTGTAAGTTAACCTGTAAGGCCCAAGGACCAGGTAACTTTCTGGAATGCTGGGAGTTGTAGTTCTTGGAAAATAACAAGGCCACAAAGGAAAATGTAGTGGCCATATGGGTTTGTCTTTAAATAGCCCCTACAAAATGTGTCGCCACTCAGCTGGAAATTCCAGGGAATGTTCCTGACCAGAGCCTATACTGGTCACATTTGATTAGAGCTTGCTTCAAATCTGGCTCAAAATTGTGGAACTGGTTTTTCTCTGGTGAATCTCAGGATTAACACTAGAATAGGCTAGCCTCTAAAGCATACAGCTCTATCTGTCTTTGTCTCCTAAAGACATGTGCCGACCAAATTAGTTATTCTTTTTTTTTTTTAACTTTATTTCATGCAAATGAGTGTTTTGTCCTCATATATGTCTGTGTACCACATGTGTGCAGACCCAAAAGGGCCAGAAGAGAACGTCAGATCTGCTAGAACTGGAGTAACAGAGAGCTTGAGCCACTATGTGGGACCCGGAAATCAACCCTAGATCCTTGAGAAGAGAAGCCTGGGCTCTTAACTGCTGAGCCATCTCTCTAGCCACACAGTATTTATTCTTACTACATGGTAAAACTACCCACTAAAGTGTACGTTCCCCGAAGCAGCTCTATAACCCTTTACTGAGATGTCCCAGAGTACTAGGTGTTTGCAACTCTCTGGTTATTTCTGCTGCAGTAGGAAGCAGAAAGAAAGCCTCAGAATGACCTCCCACCTAGAGCTCAAAGATCGATCTAGTTGGACATTAGCATCTGAAGGACCTGCTCAATAGACAGACTCAGGCTTTCCTCTGTCCTCAAGATCAACCTACACCATCCTGTGTCTGTTTCTTAAAACATGGTGTCACCTGCAGGATGGGGGACTTAAATAAGATGGCCACAGGAAAAGCCCCTTGGCTAGACACTCAGCATGACTGTAAGGTCCAGGAAGATACAGGGAGTCTGTGCAGGGCTTGCAGGCAGGCAGAAGTGAGAGGGAAGGCTGGGATACTGAACAGTCTCAATGTTCATTTCCATAGTCAACATGGGCCATAGCTCTGCTGGGTGAGAAGTCCAAACTGGCAAAGCAAGTTAACTTACAAAGCAGCATGATGAGAAGACAAGGAAAGGTGAGCATCAGCGGCAAGTGAGAGCACAGCAAAGGCAAGGCAGCAAGGCCTGAAGAGAGTGTGCTTTCAGCATCGCCTGCAGTTCAGCCTGCATCAATGCTATTTAAAGTACCAGATCTGATGGTGCAAGCCTTTCTTTAATCCTAGCACTGGGAGCTGAAGGCCAGCCTTGGCTACAGAGTGTCTTCGTGAACAATCTTGGCTACATGAGGTTCATTTCAAAAAACAAACAAAAAAACCCTTTAATCTGAGCATTTGGGAAGCAGAGGCAGGCAAGTTTCTGTAAGTTCCAGGGTAGCCAAGGTTACACAGTGAGACCAAGAGAGAAAAAAAAAAGGGGTGGGGGTGGGGGCAAGCAGTCAGATTCTGGTGTTACAGGGCTTTTAGACATCTTCCAGTTGTAAAGCCAGAGTTCTTCTAGCCGTGACAGTGACTCTGCAAGCTAAATACTAATCGTCAACTTCAGCAGAGCTGGACACTGCCATGGCCTGGCAGGTAGGTCACTGTACCGAGGGTGGTAAGAAGCAGGAGGCCAAAGAGCCTCTGGGTGACAGATGGGCCTGTCACCTCATAGGAAAATGGACTTCAGGCCCTGTGGCAAACGGCAGAAAGGATGCCAGGAATTGGGAAGGTAACACATCTCTCTCTTATGGATGTGGTGCTAAGGTGCCGCAGGAGACAGCAGTATTGTGTATGGGTGCAGTGTTCTAGAATGGACCCCAGTATCACTCACCTAGAGAAACAACAGCCACGCTCTCAGGCAGGAAGTGCAGTCGGTACCGGATCAGCAGGTGCACCAGGATGATGCAGATGGCTATGAGAAGCACAGACACTGTTTAAAAGCCCCATCAGGTAAAAGACAGAGGGCTCAGGGCAGTGGTTATCTTGAGGACTCAAGCTAACAGACATTTGACAAGCCAACAGTGAACACTGGTCAGATATTTATTGTCTTCTCCCTTTTTTATTTCTTTTCTCCCCCCTCCGCTTTTTGTTGTTGTTGTTGAGACAGGGTTCCTCTGTGCAGCCATGGCTGTCCTGGACTCACTTTGTAAAGCAGGCTGGCCTTGAACTCAGAGATCCCCCTGCCCCTGCCTCCCTAAGTACTAGGATTAAAGTTGTATGCTACCACACCTGGATTCCTTTTTATAAACAACAACAACAACAACAACAAAGACTATTTGTAGAGCCTGTGAGATGGCTCAGTGGATAAAGGCACTTTTCTGCTATACCTGACAAGCAGAGTTTGACCAAAATGTAGGAGAGACTAATTCTGAGAGTTTTCTCAGACCTCTGGGTGTACATCTAAGCCCCCACCCACCCAAATAAACAGAAGTGATGAAAAAAGATTTTTATTTCCTATGTGAGTATACATGTATGTATGTAAATGCAGTGCCCAGTGGAGGCCAGAAGAGAGCACTAGATCCCCTAGAACTGAAGCTATAAGCCACTAAGATTTGACATGTGGGTGCTGAGAATTTGAAAAAGGGGCCTTTCCAAGAGCAGCAATGCTCTTAACTGCTGAGCCATCTTTCCAGCAAACTCACAGAGATCTGCCTGCCTCTGCCTCCTGAGTGCTGGGACTAAAGAAGGGCACCACTGATTTTTTAAATTGTTATTGGGGTATGCCATAGAAGGTACAATTCTGGCTACAGTTCTCTGATCTTTACATGGGTCCTGGGGATCAAACTCAGGTCACCAGGCTTGTAATGGCAAGCACCTCTATCTGCTACTGGTAGGCCCCCCAATAGCATAGTCTTCGTAAGTTACAAAGCTCTGACAGCCACTTTAAATGGTTCACATTTTCTGATTATGAGAAATGTCCTGTTTTCTTTCCTTCCTTTTTTGTTTTGTTGTTGTTGTTGTGGTGGTGGTGGTGGTGGTTCTAAAGCCATGGTTTCAAGTAGCCCAAGTTTTTATACTTGCCATCTACGGGGGTATGGGAGGATGACCTTGAACTGTGTAGAGTGTACAGGTCCCCAGTTTATGCTGGGGATTGAACTCAGTGTTTCATGTGTTAGGCAAGACTTTATCAACCTACCTTCCCTGTCTAAAAAAATACAACAGGTACTGGGCAGTAGTGGCAACACCTTTAGTTTCCACACTCAGGAGGCAGAAGTAGGCGGATCTCTGTGAGTTTGAGACCAGCCTAGTCTACAAAGTGGGTTCCAGGACAACCAGGACTACACAGAGAAACCCTGTCTTGAAAAATCAAAAAACAAAAATTGCAGCCTTTAAACAAACAAATACCGCCACATGTGTATATGTGCCTAAATACAGACACTAACAAAAATAATTTTAAAAATCTGGTCCAAAATATCCACTCTTATGTATTTGCATCAGTGTAAATGTAATCTCATGGTCCAGATGCTAGTGTGTGCAGCCCTTCAGCACTGAGGCCTCACTCCAGCTCACTAAGCACAGGACACCTGAGCAGCACCAGGTGTTGTGGTATGTGACTAAGGCTAGCCTGGTTCTCACTAGATAGTCCTCAGTAGTCTTGAACTCACAGCAATTCTCTTCCTGCAGATTCTCAGGTATTAGGATTATAGAAAGGTGCCACCATGCCTAACTTTACACATAACTTTTGAAAGAAAATGCTCAAATGGGGCGAGAGGTGCCTCAGGGGGTGAAGTGCTGGCTACAGAGGCATGAGAGCTCAGGGCCCCAGCATTTCACAAGAACACTGAGCTGAGCACATCTCTGCAGTCTCAGCATTGGGGAGGTGAGGGCGGAAGGATCCACGGGGCTCCCACCAGCCTGGCTACCTACCTTCCCTGTCTAAAATACACCTGTGAGCCAGGGAGCTGCTTGTTTGTCAGGCTGCTTTGTTATCAAGTTCTCAGGGAGAAACGTGTTTTCACCCTGGCCTTCACCTGGAGACAGGGATAGGCAGGATGTTTTGCCAAGTTCACTTCCTTTTGTTTGTGTGAGGATCACACAGGCAAGTGGTAGAGGTAAACAAGTTTGACTTCTCGACAAACCCCTTTATTGTATCAAGGTGCTTGCTCTGACTATAAAAAAGAATTGTGGAATAAAGCAGATGTGACAGTTTCTACTGGCAGCCCTTTGTCTGTAGTGTTTTGTTTTCTTTTTTTTTTTTCTTTCCATTCTCACTCCCGTCTCAGGGACTGTTCAACTCTGCCAGCAGGCTCCAGCAGTTGAGGAAGATTCCTGTAATGCACTCCCATCATCCACAGGTATGTGCAGATGTACAGATATGCACATACTAGACTCATCCTACCCATGCATAGATACTCAGCCAGCCAGAGAGACAGACACACAAGGAGGGCGAACCCTGAATCTGCAGAGCTGCTAACAGGCCACTCGGAGTTCACACTGACTTTCCATCAGAAAGCACCAGGTGGCTAAAAGAAACAGCTGTCAATTCAAGTCCCACCCTCCTGTCCTGCACTCTAAGCTATCAATTTATTGTTTCAATGTAAATATTTAGCCCAGCAGAAGATCCTGCATCCAACACAGAGCACAGGATGTGACCAACACACTCTTGCTAAGCCAGAAGGCAAGGAAGCGCAGGAACCATGAGCCCATGAGCTGTGTGTACGAAGCTGGCTTTGTTTTAATGTGTATGTGTCTGTCTGTCTGAACATGGCATGGGGGTGCACACAGAGGCCAGAAAAGAGCATGAGATCCCCTGGAGCTGGAGTTCTAGGAGGCTATGAGCTGGCCCATGTGGGTGCTGGGAACTGAACTCAGTTTCTGGAAGATCACAAGTGCTCTTAATTTCTCTCCAAACTAAGATTTAAAAGTTAATTTAAGATGAAGGGGAGGAGAATCTCCGGTATCAGTGGACTTGGAGAGGGGCATGGGAGATGAGGGAGGGTAGGATTTGGAGGGAATGAGGGAGGGGGCTACAGCTGGGATACAAAGTGAATAAGCTAATATAAAAAATAAAATTTAATAAAAAAATGAATTTAGAGGCTGGAGGGATAGTTCAGTGGTTAAGAGCAGTGGTTGCTCTTCCAAAGGATCCGGGTTCAGTTTCCAGCACCAACATGCAGCTCACAACTGTCTGTAATTCCAGTTTTAGGGGATCTGACTCTCACACAGATGCCATGTGCATGCAGGCAGACACCAATGTGCACAAAATAAAAAGTAAATCATTAAAAAAAAAAAAAAACTAATTTAAGGGCTGGTAAGATGGTTCTCTGCGTAAAAATATTTGTTGCCTGACAATATATTTAATCCCTAGAACACAAGTGTTAAGAGAAAAAGTGACTCTTGTCCTCTGACCTCCACACAGGGACGAGCATGTGCACCACTCCCCTGCACACAAAAATTACACAATTTCTTAAAGATTAAGTGACATTTACTAGGGGCTAGAGATGGCTCCAAAGGTAAAGCACTTGCCATGCAAGCCTGAGACCTTCGGTGAAATCTCCAGATCCCATGTACGATTCACAGCAGCAGCACACACATGTTATAATCCCGGTGCTCCACCTGGGAAGACAGCAGCCAGAGACAGAACACTTGGCAGCGAGAGGCCAGAGAGGCTGGCAAACACAGCAGGGAACAACAGAGAGGTGCTGCCTCACTGCTGGAAGGCAATGCTGGACAACTAAGGCTGCCTCTGACCTCCATGACCTCCAGAGGTGTGCTGCGGCAGGCGTGCACCTGCAGTCACAGACAAGAGCATGCACACACACATGCACAAGCAGAGAGAGCAAAAGAAGAAAGAAAGCTTTCCCTAGGATTGGGGGTGTGACTTAGCGGGGAAAGTCCAGTCCAGCTGGCAATCACAAACCCTGGCTGCCTCCCCAGCAGGACATGATGGCAAAGCCTGTAATTCCAGCAGTCTGGAGGCAGAGGCAGGCAAATCTGATCTACATAGCAAGTTCTAGGCTAGCCATGGCTACATAGTGAAGCCCTGACTCAAAAACAAAACAAAGGCATAAATAAATAAATAAATAAATAAATAAATAAATAAATAAATAAATAAATAAATAAATAAATAAATGAAAATAGAGGTTTTGTGTGGACACTGAAACCCTAAAGTAACTCAGGCCTGATTCTCCTCCTAGGCATTCATGGAAAAGAAACAGAAGTACGCACACAACCACCTGACACAGTGTTCACAGCAACAAGTTTACAATAGTCAAAGGTAGAGAAGACCCAAGCAAGCGCCCCACAGTCATGAGTAAATTCAGTACTGGACACTCTGGACTACTCTGCAGCCACAGCAAGGGATGAATTCTTGTGTAACACAGATAAATTCTTAAAATGTTTTTCTTACGACATTTAGTGGCCGGAGGGGTATGTAGGGGTCAGGGGACAATTGTAGAAGTCGGTTTTCTCATCTTACCATGAGGGATCTCAGGGCTACAATGTGTTCAAATGTTAACTGCTTATCCCCCAAGATCCTTACTGTCCTATGAGCAAAGTACCCAAAAGGACACTGAGAATTTCCTCCCAAATTATCCTGACTGGCTAATAAATTTGCCTACAGCCTAGGCTGGGAAAAGAGAGGAGGCAGAGTGAAGTTCTAGGGCTTGTGGGGTCACAGAAAGACCACGAGGAAGATGAAGGAGGAAGAAGGGAACAGGTCCCCATGGGTTAGTGCAACTAGGGGCATGTGGCCAAAAGCAGCTTGCTCTGAGGACTGGCCTGACGTAGCAGATGCCCCCTAGGTAGAGCATGTGCAAGTACTTATGGGGATTTTGGTTGAGAAGCAGACAGATAGCTTAGAGGACATTTTGGTCTCCCACCACCACGCTCCACATCTCTGGCTCTGCATGCTTAAACTCTTCCTCTCCCCCTCGAGCCCCTCCCTCCACTGTTCTGTCTCCCAGTATACATGACTTTCCTGGTCCTGTT